GCTCTAAACGAAAACCATTATGATAATTACTTAAAAATTTATATTATTTGAGTTTATTTCATAGTAAAAATAAATATTTGTTAATATGTAATATGGTTTTTTAGAAATTATGAAATAAAATTTTGTTTTATATTTCAAAATTTGTAATAAAAATATTATAACAAAACTGAATATTAAAATATTTGCATTTCATTTTTTTACCAAATTTTAAATTCAATCTTAAAATCTTCCTTAAATAATATTTGCATCTAGTTATTATTTAAGGAAGATCTGAGTTGAAAAGAAAAAAATAATACACAAAATATTTCAAAATTAATATGTACATTATATTGTTTAGATTTTTTCGAAAATTGCTCTAAACGAAAACCATTATGATAATTACTTAAAATTTATTATTATTTGAGTTTATTTCATAGTAAAAATAAATATTTGTTAATATTTAATATGGTTTTTTAGAAATTATGAAATAAAATTTCGTTTTATATTTCAAAATTTGTAATAAAAATATTATAACAAAACTGAATATTAAAATATTTGCATTTAATTTTTTTACCAAATTTCAAATTCAATCTTAAAATCCTCCATTGATAAATCTTTTTAAATGATAGTTTTTTTTAATTTTGAATTAAAATGATATTATTTTTATTTGTATTTTTGATATAGAATAGTCTATTAGGATTGGTTTAGAAAAAATCTTAGTTGGATATCAAATCTTAGTTTTTCAATTCCTATTGGTTAACAATTTTTAAAAAATTAATTTCAAATTTTCGTTTATAATTAATAAGAGAGAGAAAATTAGTTTATTTTTTTGGAAATTAATAAGTATTTAAAAGAATTAAACTATTTTTTATTTAAATATATTAATTTTGTGATTACTATTGTACCCTTAATGAAGTTATTTAAAAACACTAAAAACCAATGGCATTTTTTGTAATTCTTTACCCTTTATAAGGTTATGTATTATCCAATGCTTCCCAATTAATAATATAGATTTAACCCATATTCACGTTTTTTTTTTCTTTACTTGGGTGTATATATATGAAAGAATTACTTTTTCGATTAATCTATTAATACATCAAAAAGTATGGGCTTATTATGGCCCATAACTTCCTAAAAGAAAACATCGTGAAAACAAAAGCTCCCGTCGGCAGCGCAAACGTCGTCGTTTGATTGATTGGTCCCTGCCACCCAAAATCTCTGCCTTTTTTGCAAAAGCTATTCAGAGGAAACTGCAATTCCCAATAAGCCCGCAATCAACGGCCCAAATAGAGTAATCAGTCAACCATCCCATACAACCGTTCTCACGTGAACCTTGTCTTCAACACGGTCAATCTAAACCACTAACCAATCAGAATTCACCACGTCATCACTTCGTTATAATCTCTGTCTCTCTCTTCTCACTCTCCGAGTGGGGTGATAGTGTGACTCTGTAACGAGAAAGCACAATCATATTCATAGCGATACGTTCTTCAAAAGCTCTTTTGCTTTTTCATCTCCTTTTCCTTTTTTTTTTTTTTCTTTTGTAAATTTTATTAACTATGATTGTGATTAGTGAAAAGGGCTTCTCTTTAAATCCTTTACCTTTGAATTCGACAACAATTCATTGTTCTTCTTTGTGGTGGCGATGGCAGAGGAGCAGCATCAGAATTATCCTGTGGCTGAGGCGATTCCGGGTACGCCTGGGATCCACGAAGTAAGGATCCAACCCGGTTCTGAGAATTTCGGGTTCTGTGTTGATTCGGTTGGTGTTTCTGATGTACCTGGAATTAGGAGAGTTGGTTTGAGAGCTGAAATCGATACTTCTCCTCCATTCGGGTCGGTTCAGGAGGCGGTGACCCGATTCGGTGGTCGTGGTTATTGGGTTCCTTTCAAGCTTGAAGACAGTTTCGTAAGTTTTGTTCTTTCTCAGTTACTTTCTTCTAATGTCGGATCAGTTCGATAATAAACACATTCGATGGTGACCGTTAACCATTGTTCTTTAAATTGAATTTGAGTATAATTTCTTGATTGCTATGAATGTAAGTGAAAATTTGATAACTACTGTGACATATAGACATATAGTAGCATCTCATTATTGATATTTAGAATTTCATAATTGAGGTAAAATTGAGTAGATTATCATATTTAAGGTTCTAGAGGTTTTAAGCATCAAGGTCATCTAGATTCTAAGCGGTTAGTTCTGTCTCTGAGATCATTTTTTAAGTGTTGATCGTTGTGTGGTACACACTGACATTGCTTATGTAACAAAGGAAGCAATAGATGTTTTAATGTCTATGACTAAATTGTCTATCCAGTTGGATTAAGAGTTTAAATGTATGGTTTTTACAGAATGGAGAATTTGACATAAAGAGAATGGAAGAGCATGCAGCGGAGCTTGAGAAGGATCTGATTGTGAAAGAGCTTGAAACTTTGGATGTTCTTGAAGCACTTGGATCAACAAAAAGGATCGTTGAAGATTTGAAGCGGCAGCTTCAGCAAGAAGCCCTGAGATGCACTGAACATCCCAGTTCAGATATCAAAGAGATGAACGATGAGCATTGCCATCACAATCCTATTCCTATGTCATCTCCTGATCTGATCTTGATGGAATTGAAGCAAGCCAAGATGAATCTTGGTAAAACTATGGATGATCTTGTACTGATCCAATCCTCTGTTGAATCTCTCAATAAGAAGATGAAGGAAGAGAAAGATTTCCTTGAGAAGACACGAGCGAAGCTAACTTATGGGTTTGGAGGACCGGTATCTCTAGCTGAGGAGCTGAGTCGGATTAAGGTAAAACCACAAGTTCCAGATGAACCACTAAGGGAACATGTTAAGATGGTTGCTGAAACCGATGAAACGGGGTTAAACCTGCAGAACAAGAACCGTCTGAGAACTGCAGAGATGAGACTGGTTGCTGCTAGGAAAATGGAAGAAGCTGCAAGAGCAGCAGAAGCACTTGCGATTGCTGAAATTACAATGTTATCATCCAATGGGGAAAGCCAGGACGATGATTCGGAATTTTGCTTTCCAGAGCCTCCAAGATCTCCTGTGACACCGAGAGGACTAAGGATTGATAATGACTTCTCCGCGGATAATAGCTCAAGAAGAGGAATTTTAAAGAAGCTTGAGGAAGCTACTGAAGGAGTTAAACAAAGTAAACAAGCTTTAGAAGCTGCGTTAAACCGAGCAGAGATCGCTAATGTGAAGCAACTTGCAGCTGAAAATGCTTTCCGTGGGTGGACAAAAGACTCATCGAAAGGCGATAACTTTACACCCTTGCATCATACCCGACGCTCCTTTTTCAGCCATTTAAACAAGCATCATGAGCCACTTGACAACCTCCCAAAGCCAGTGTTGAAGTCTAACGTCTCAATGCGTGATGTTCTAAGGCGTAAGCAAGTTCCAAAGGAAGATGTTGTTGCTCCCCAAAGGCAGAGCCTTGAAGGGCAAATCCCGAGGCGAAATGCGAATCTGAGCCAAATGTTGAAGGAGTTGAAGCAGGATGTGAAGTTTTCAACAAGGGCCGAGAAAGAGGAGGTACATGAAGAGAAACAGTATGTCACGCAGAGGAGAAAGTTTGGGTTCATACACATCACACTTCCATTACAGAAGCAGAGCAAGAAAAAATCCAGCCTTTAAAAACAACAGCACCTTCAACTATTTCTATTTCTAGTCATTATTATTTGTTTGTAATTGGTTTTCATTTTGGTTTAATGTGGTGTGTGTGATTGATTTTCCTGTCTTTATATTTGTTGTTTTCCAAAAAATAAATATACAATTAGTCTTTAAATAAAACATAATGCTTTGAATCTAATTTGTAAACAGCAAATGTGATTGTGTAGAACAAGAATAGCAGTGAAATTAAAACTGCTTTACCCTGATTAAGCTGTTACTTTAGCAATCAAACCGAACCAAGATGCTCAGAATAAACCGAACAATGACGTGGCAGAGATAGTTGCTGACTAGTAGTCAATGTTGAATCCACGTCAGCAGATCTCTTATCTTCTTCGTCCAAGACGTTAACCCCATCTCGTTGAAAGAGAAGATGCTAAGATCTCATCAAAGCAGAGTATAACAACACCTTGACCTCGTTGAAGAAGCCTTTGAGATTGTCTCGGAGATCTAAAAAATGTCAATCCTCCAAGTCTCCACTTCATCTCTTTCTTCTTCTATTCTTCTCTCCATCTCTCCCAGAAAATCTCTCTCGTCTCCTAAGTCATGCCGGATAGTTCGTTGTTCTGTCGAGGGTACTTATTTCTAACTCCCAATTTTTGATTCCTTACGATGAAGTTTTTGGTGAGTTAATATCTGGGTACGTATAAAGTTTCGAATTTTCCACAAAATTTCTCTTTTTTTAGCAAATAGGAAGCGAATTGGGTCTTTTTTGTAGCACTTGAATTGATTGTTTTGGTTAATCTGTTATGCTGTTGATAGATGGTTTCAATGGTAATCTGAAGTAACTTTCAGATTCTCTTACTACAGTAATCTCTCTGGTAGAAACTTTTAGGATTTGCGAGTTTGTTCTGCATAAGGTGTGATACAGTGATGTTCCTTGTTTCAACTATATGATCTTCTCATGCTACTTCGAAGTAAAGTTTATTGCTTGATTCAAGAATTGGAATGTTTCTCTGGGATTGTCATTGGTTTTCCCTATATTAAGTCTGATCATGGAATGTGCAAAAACTAATGAGTCTTAATTTTTATGCTTAATGGGATTCAAATTCTTTGTTTAGGAACCACTGTAACCGAGCGAAAAGTCTCGGCAATCAGTGAGCCTCTTCTTCTGAGAGCTGTTAAAGGTGAAGTTGTTGATAGACCTCCGGTTTGGCTTATGAGGCAAGCTGGGAGGTACATGAAGGCAAGCTTGCTTCTATTTAATTTGTTTACAAACTCACTTTTTGCTTCTTTTTTCTTTCGAATTCGTGTGACCTGAGTGGTAATTAATATAATGAACAGAGTTATCAAACTCTGTGTGAGAAGTATCCTTCTTTCCGAGATAGGTCAGAGAATGCGGATCTTGTGGTGGAAATTTCTCTGCAGCCATGGAAGGTGTTTAAGCCAGATGGGGTGAGTTCTTCTTCATTATGTCCATATAGTTTTGGTGTTTTTCTTTACATGATCTCTTAAGTTGACATGTCTGTTTTTGAAAATGTATGAAAAGGTGATTCTGTTCTCAGACATTCTCACTCCATTGTCTGGAATGAACATACCTTTTGACATTGTTAAAGGAAAAGGTCCTATCATCTTCAACCCGCCGCAATCAGCTGCCGATGTTGATCAAGTTAGAGAATTCATACCAGAGGAATCTGTACCTTATGTTGGAGAAGCACTCAGAAGATTAAGAAATGAGGTACTATAGATAGTGGTTATCGAAGCAACAAATAGTCTTAAGCTCTTTATAAAAAAAACAAAAAACAAATGCTCTTAAGCTGAAGAATATGTTTTGTTTCAGGTGAACAACGAAGCTGCTGTTCTGGGTTTTGTTGGAGCTCCGTTTACTCTTTCTTCGTATGTAATCGAAGGTGGCTCATCTAAGAACTTCACACAGATAAAAAGATTAGCTTTTTCTCAACCCAAGGTTGGATTAGTAAAAGCTTAAAGCAATAATTGTAAACTTCGTCAATTTGGTAAATATCTCAGAGATTGAAAAGTTTTTCTTTCTTCTCAGGTTCTACATGCTTTACTCCAGAAGTTCACGACCTCGATGATCACGTACATACGTTATCAAGCAGATAGCGGAGCTCAAGCTGTACAAATATTCGACTCTTGGGCTACCGAGCTTAGCCCGGTGGATTTTGAAGAGTTTAGCTTACCTTATCTTAAACAGATTGTGGAAGCTGTGAAACAAACTCACCCGAACCTACCTCTCATTCTGTATGCGAGTGGATCAGGAGGTTTGCTAGAGAGACTGGCTCGAACCGGTGTGGATGTTGTGAGCTTGGACTGGACTGTAGACATGGCTGAAGGAAGAGACCGGTTAGGAAGAGACCTAGCGGTTCAAGGAAACGTGGATCCGGGAGTTCTATTTGGATCGAAAGAATTTATCACAAGCAGGATTCATGATACTGTGAAGAAAGCGGGGAGAGATAAACACATTCTCAACTTGGGGCATGGTATTAAAGTTGGAACCCCTGAAGAGAATGTTGCACACTTCTTTGAGGTTGCTCAAGGAATTAGATATTAAGAGAAAGAGTGATGATGATTATGCTTTGTTTGTTGTTCACTTCGGCCTTTATCTTTTTTTTGTTTTCAATTTGAGATGTGTAATTTTATTTTTTAACTGTAATTTTTTGTTTGGAGACTACTTCGAAGAGAATAGTGATTAACGTGCAACATATGGATATTCATATATGTAGGCTCTTGATTTCCACTTATATCAATTTCTTAGAGCTCATTTCCAAATATGGTGATCAAAATTGTTACGCATTTGAACAAAAATTTTTATTGAGACTCAATAATCTATAAAGCTATTTTTTGAAAATGTAATTACGAAATTGCTACAAAAACCAATCCCTTGAACTAACTTTTATATATAACAGTTTTAATGTTTATCTACATACATTATTTCAATATTTAATCATTGGATAATATTAAACATTGATTTGATATAGTTAAAAAACTTTTTTTTTTTTGATATAGTTAAACTTTTTAAGCGTGTACATATATAAATAGAGATAGAGTACATGTCAAGTAACTATCACATTTAATTATACTCAGATTACAAACAAAAAAAAACAGAGAAAAAACCCTAAAGAAGATCGAATAGGTAAGATGGAGCAACTTCGGAGAGATGATGATTGGATTGTGGACGAGTCTTCGTTGTCGAAGGTCTCTTCTCTTGGCGGAGGCAGCTTCGGTCGCGTCTCTCTCGAGAAGGACTCTAACTCCGGCCGACTCTACGCAAAGAAGTCATCGCGGATGCATCTCCAAAAGATTCTCGAGAAGGAGCTCAGGATCATGCATCGTTTCCGCAATCATCCTCGCATCGTCCAAGCTTCAAACAAGCTTCACTTTCAAACAAAACCCTATGAATATTGCAACATTTTTATGGAGTACGCCTCCAAAGGTAATCTCTATAAGATTTTATCTGGTTTCCCCGACAAATCACAGCCCATACCAGAGTCTTTGGTCAGTCGCGCGGCTCGTATGATCCTAGAAGGACTCGTGGCTCTTCACTCCCATGGTTACGTTCACTGCGACCTCAAGCCATCCAACGTTCTCGTCTTCCCTTCCACAACTCCTGGAGAGCCGTGGGATCTCAAGCTTGCTGATTTCGGATCATCCAAGGAACCTGATTCTGAATATGATTTTATGTCCCTTGGTACGGCTCAGTACATACCATCAGAGTCTTTTGGGCCAAACGGACTGATCAATCCGGGACATATCGATCCGCGCCTTGATATATATGCTCTAGGGTGTGTGGTTTATGAGATGTTTGGAGCTTTACCGAAGCAGGAGTACTTTGAATATTATTACGATTGGATATTGCATCGAGAAATCTCTCCGGAGGCTCAAGATTTCTTGAGGCGGTGCCATGACATGCATCCACACAGGCCCAACGCGACAGAGCTCTTGAACCATTCTTTCATTACGCAGAGACTTCCATGGCCAACCACAGAAAACGACAAGGAGATATCAGCTAGGTCGTTAATTCCAAGTGTCTCCAAGCTTCTTTTGACCTGATCTTCTTATTCCTCTGTTAAAGATAAACTCAATAATCAACACAAATTCAATTCAATAAACTTGGACTAACGTTCAAGACAAACGCGAGCCAAATTCCAAAGAGACTAAGATCTTACAATGAATAGATCTTGATCAACAATGGTGAAATATCCAGAGAGTATCAGAGGAAGAAGAAGATTACAAAGAAATTGAGATAAATTTGCGATGATTCCTCAACTTGATCTCCTCTCATTATTAAGTTGCCGTTGAAGTCAACAGTCAACACTTCTAATTTGAAACCAGCCAATCAAATGCGTCCGTGTCATTTCTCCTCCCACAACCAATCACAGACCAGCATTTGTCCACCTCACCCTTTACTCAACACTTCTCTTTTCCTGTAACATCCTCTCTATCTCTCTTTGTGTAAACTAACTGATCTAGAGAAACTGGATAGCTAGTGAATTGCTATGGCAAAGCCTATCCGAGATGGCGAGATGTACCAAGGATCAATTTGACCTTGGGGACTCGTTAAATTGTGATTCCATCTAGTGATTCCATGTTCCATCTGGTGATTTCAATTTACATACAGCCACGAAGTAAGATTTTATCTTATTTAAGAGTTTATTGGTCGAGTTAATGAGTTTGTTTGTTTACTTGCATCACAAGAAAATTAGTCTTAAGTCAGTAATAGGTTTTTGCCAGTGTGCATGTGTTGAGTTCAACACTCCTTCATGTTTTATCTGAGGACTGAGTATATATTAAAGTTGAGATTTGTTTACTTATATTAGTCCTGCATATTTTATCGGAGAATATTTATATATTATTAGTGTATATAACATTCAAGTTTATTTTATATTACTCACTCCAATAATTTACATTTGTCTGTTAGATTTCTTCTTCTTTTGTTTTGTTAAAGTTACATGTGATTTTGTTGGAAAAAAATAACTGAGGAAACTAACAAAATTTTCATTGGGGGTTATGGAAATTGAAAACAACAAAAAGAAGAAGAAGAAGAAGAAGAAGAAAGTCAGTGACAGTGTTAAATAAAAAAAAAGAGAGAGAGAAAAAAGCCCAAGCCCAGTATATGTTAAAGCCCAAGAAGTAACAATAAAGATCAGCTCTCCTCCATCAGAGATTAAACGATGAGATCGGCGACAAGAGAGTAACCCTAGCAGCAGACACAACACTAGTTCATCGAGAAGCAAGATGGTACTCATTGTCTTTGATTTTTCTGATCTTTGATTTACAAGAAAGATTGAGAATTGTTTGTGTTGCAGACTTTCAAGCGTAGGAACGGTGGAAGGAACAAGCACAACAGAGGTCACGTCAAGCCAATCAGATGCTCCAACTGTGGCAAATGTTGTCCCAAGGTACTCTCTTCCACCTTCTCTTCTCAATCAATCAATCTCTAGTAGTTCCTATGTGGAGTTTTGATTAGATCTTGTGGTTGGTTATATGATTTTGGATAGGACAAGGCCATTAAGAGGTTCATTGTGAGGAACATTGTGGAGCAGGCTGCTATTAGAGATGTCCAGGAAGCTAGCGTCTACGAAGGTATCATTTCATCGCTCTCTCTATGTTTCTTTGTTTTGTTACATTAAAAAGTTTGGATCTTTGGACTGTTGGCATTGGAGTTTCCTGAGATTTGCAACATCATTGAATATGTGTCTTGTATGTAATTGATAGCATACACATTACCGAAGCTATATGCAAAGACGCAATACTGTGTCTCCTGTGCTATCCACTCTCACGTCGTTAGAGTCCGTTCCCGCACCAACCGTAGGGTCCGTACTCCTCCACCGCGTTTTGCCAGACGCAAGGTAACCTCTCTCTCTTTCTCAACTCAATGATCATTTGTAGGTTTAAGCTCCATTTGTCGATCTGTAATTACTTCTGCTTGCTCCATTTTGCCCTGTTAGATATGAAGATAGTTTCAAGTAAAACTGGTTTGTTTGACATGTACAAAGTATAGTTGACTCTCTCGCAGGAACCTAATTGTGTGTTTGATTATCTTAAGATTACCTATTGAACTATAATAGTTGTTTCAAAATAGTCTTTTATGGCTTCAATAAGTAGACTTTTGAGGTGGATTAAGCAAACCAGTACCTTCACTTAATCCCTAACAGTACTGCTTTCTACGAGACTATTCTGTTCTATCTTTTGTTGTTGAAATGATTTACTCTTCTGACATTTTACTGAATGGTTTTCTTTCGACATTATGATTATCAGGAGGATACTCCCAAGCCTGGGCAACCAGGACAGGCCCCTCGTCCAGCTGGACCTGGACCTGCAGCTGCACCGCGTGTCTGAAACCTGCAATCAGCTTCCTCTCGTGTTTTCTTATGTTCTAGTTACTTCTTTGAGGATGTTTGTCTCTGGTTCAGATTGTTTTGCCATGTGGATCTTGAATTCTGTCAAACTATTTCAATAGTTGATTCAACTTTGTTTTTTGCACCTCTATATCCAGTTTTGCAGTCTGACGTTTTAGTTAACTAGATGCTTAATGGATGGTTCGTTTGCAATTCAACATCTTAAGACTAGCGGATGCTGAATTTGAGATGTGTTTTCAAAAGCTTAATAAAGATAAAAAAATGTAGTAAATCTTCTTGTAACGTTTGTGGTGAAAGCTTGTTATTCAGATTTCCTCTGCCAGAAAAAAAAAAAAACCATGGCGAAATCAAATCTCTCTAGTTTTGAGGCTAAGCCTACTTATGGGCTATGCTATTGGATATGCGGCCCGGACCTAATCCGTTAAATAAAACGAATTGCATCACATGTAAATGTGTTTATTTTTCGTTCTTCTATTTTTGGATAAACCATATTAGGACATTCGCTGCATATTACCCTGAAACTGTTTAGGTGATTAATCCTTATTTAAAAGGTAGTTTAGCTTAATATTGTAACAAATTTTAATATTTAAGATTATCTAGCCTTTTGTTTTTATAGTAAAAAACATATAAAAGTTATTAGAAAATCTATAAAATTTAATGTTATCATAACAAATTGGGTCTAGCTACTTTTTCTTTCTTTCTAGTAAAATGATATATTATTTTCTCAAAATAGACTTAACGATGGTGGGCTTACACAGGCCAAACGGCCCATAAAATGGAAGAAAAAACCAGCTTCGTCACCGACTCACCAGAATTTAAAATATGAAAAAGGAGGATATCTCAATTTAAGACCATCTTTATCAATGGATTTGAAAACTGAAACTCTATTAGTGTTTGAGTTCAATCTTTCACAAGAATCGCTTACACCATAAAAACATCATGAGGAACACCTAGAAACATATTAGATTTTTAGCTGGAAATTGAACTTGAGTTCATATAGGAATAATCTTCTTCGTCGTTGATTTAAATTTAGGATTTTTAAGTTTATGATTTGGGAATTTTGTAGGATAACGCATATAAATAGTGATTTTTTTACACTAACATCAAATTTTTTAATTTCTAAATTTTGGAAATTAGTTTGCTAACTTAAAAAAAACAAATTTATCTTACTATATTAATAAGTCGTTAACTTAGTGACCGTTATATTTATGGTGCATGTATACAGAAAACTAACCGTTATTTCTCTAACTAAAAAAACGATCATTAATTTACTTTTAAATAACAGTTAGTTTACTGTATACACCCGCCATAAAAATAACGGTCATTAAATTACTTTTAAACACAAAATTACATTTCATAACATTTTTTCGAAAATAAACTAACCGCTATTTCTCTAACTAGAATTTTAAAACGATATTAATGTAAAATAAAATTTAAACACAAAATTCGACCTCATAACATTTACATATGACTTGGAAAAAAAAAAAAAAAGTAATATACGAATCTAAACACTAAATCTCAGTATCAAATGTTTGTAAGAAAATCCGTTCATCGTAGATATCTATTTTGTCATTTCCTCTCAATTAGTCTTTTCTTTTAGTTTACTTTTAGCTTTTTTGAGTTTACTTTTTTTTTTCTTCCTTAAATTTTCTTGTCTTTTCTCTCGTCTCTTTGAACTCCGGAGGAAGAAGACGACGACGACGACGTACAAAAAAATGAAAAAATTTGTTTGGGCAAGGTGAACCGATTTTTAATACAAACAAAAATAAAGATGCAAATTTATTAATTTGTGGGTCTCATTATTATTTAATTTCTATGACTAATAGTATAGTCTATGAAACTTCCATAAATTTCATTTGACTTTTTTTTTTTACTGGTGAATGATCGTTTCATTATCATTTTCATTATCTTTGTTTATTTAATCTCCTTCTCATGTTTAGAAGCTAAGCTCTACCATTTTCTCCGCCCTGAGTATGTTTTCTTATCCTCTTTAGCTCTTTACTCTTAAACTAATTAAGATTTGGTGATAATGGTTTTTGCTTAAGCTCTTTCGCTTTCTCTGTTTCAGTTTGGTCTTCAAATCTTCCATTTCTTGTGAGTTTTTGATGAGTTTGCGTTTGATAATCAAAGGGAAAAGCTCTTTCTTCACACCTCAAATTTCACTTTTTTCTTTTACAAATGCATTTTAATCACAATCCTAGAACCCTAAAATTGTTAACAAGTGTTGATCTTTGTTTCATCATCGAAAGTTTTGATTTTTTTGGTTTTCTATGTTGCAGGAGGAGTTAAAGCCACTTGGGTTTTCACGGATTTGTTCAAAGGAATCTTCTTTGACGACACTTGGACTTAAAGCATAGGTACTTTTCCGATACTCACAACTCTAGAAACGAGGCCTTTTGTTTTTCTTGAGTTTTAGAAAAAGTTGAAATTGAGATTTGGAAAGCTTTAGTTTTGGTTGTTGCAATCATTGCTGGGGAAAAGCGAGTGGATCAGAATTCTTTTTGTCAAAATTCTTTTTTGGGTATATTAAAGTCTTGATTTTTATTCTTTGGTTTGGGTTTGGCTTTGAGGAAACTAAGACTCTGCAGGGATACCTAACATTTGCATTTACTATCCATTTATCATTGACATACTCTGTTTAGAATGTATTTACTCTTTGGGGTGGCTTGAATTGTTTTGAAGCATTCATTGGTTGAATTGAGAAATCTAATCCAAGATTTTCTTCTTTCTCTGATCTTCATTCCTTTGGTTGGGAGTTGTTTTCCTTGAGGAGTGTATTGATTTCTGTTAATGAAGCCATGATTTTTCTCTTTGTTCTATGGTTTGTACTTTGTAGATCTTGAGTTCGTTGGAGTTTCTTGTTCAAATGGCTGATCATCAAGAGAAGGTTCCAGTCTCTTTGTCTCAAGCCCCGTCATCATCGTCTCTGTCCCCAACAACAACGCCAATAGGTGAAGAATTGTGGTTGATTGCTGAGGAAAGGGCTCAGGAGATACTATTTGCCATCCAACCTATGTATCTTTCAGAAAGAAGTAGGAATGAGATCATCAATCATCTCCAGACTCTTATGAGGGAACGTCTTGGAATTGAGGTTAGAACTTTCGTGGAAATTTTGTTGGCTGAACTTTCCTTCAGTCTCCAGCTTCTTAGGAATGCCGTATCAGATGATGTCTGGTTGCGATGTTTCGTAAGAATGCTAAAGTTTTCCAGCTGTGATGATTAGATTCGGAGTCAGGACTTTTATTTTGTGCCCCTAAATCATTCTTATGTTTATGTGTCTTGTTCCTCTTTTAACTTGATCAAAATGTAGTTTTAATGCGGTGTTGTATTTACCAGGTCTTTTTATTTGGTTCGGTGCCATTAAAAACCTATCTCCCAGATGGAGATATTGATCTGACAGTTCTAACTCCTTATGGTATGGAGGAGAACTGTGCTAAAGCATTGCGTAATATACTTGAAGCTGAAAGGGGAGAATCAGATTTCCAAGTAACTGATGTCCAGTATATCCATGCACAGGTTTGCTTGGTTCCTTCTTTGTTTTAAGAAAACTTCTTTTCCATGCTTATGCTGTTTCCCGCTCAATTGACGTTTTTGATGGTAGGTCAAGGTCATAAAGTGCACTATCAGGAACGTTGCTTTGGATATCTCCTTCAATCAAATGGCGGGACTATCCGCTTTATGTTTTCTGGAGCAGGTAAATACTTAATAGCTTAAGCGTATAATAGTTCTTCCATGGTCTATTCTCTCAACTGATTTGGTAAATCTTTTACTTTTTTGTTGCTTTATTAGGTTGACCGGGCTTTTGGTAGAGACCATCTGTTCAAACGTAGCATCATTTTGATTAAGGCCTGGTGTTTTTATGAAAGCCGTATTCTCGGTGCCAACAATGGATTGATTTCGACGTATGCATTGGCTATACTCGTCTTGAACATCGTCAACATGTCTTATTCATCAGTATCTGGCCCTTTAGCTGTAAGCATTTTTGAATCCGAGCTTATTTGGAAATGGCTTCCAAGATTAACATATTAAATCTGTCATCAACAGGTACTGTATAAGTTCATGGATTTCTATGGATCATTTGATTGGGAGAATTACTGTATCACGGTCACTGGTCTGGTCCCGATATCATCTTTTCCAGATATTACGGGTAAGGACGCTGAGATAATAGAAAACTTGATTTGTTGTTTTGAAAACTTCTGTTTCCCCTAAATTTGAAAACTTCAATTGTTGTTTCCTTCAGAAACCAGAAATCATGAAGTATTCCTAGATGAGAAGTTCTTCAGAGAATGCATTGAGTCATATTCGGGGCCAGCTAATGTTGTTGAAGCCAACAGGAAATATTTTCCTGTAAAACACTACAACATACTGGATCCTCTGAAACACAGCAATAACCTTGGACGTAGTGTGTCAGAAGGTACTATATTGACCAGAGATTTCTATGCCACGAGACCAAAACGAAGCTCATGATTATTGGTCTCTCAAGTAACATTTTCTATCTTTTGTGTATTCTTGTTAGGAAATGCGATACGTTTAAGACATTGTTTTAGAAGGGGAGCTCAGAAGCTCAGAGATGTGCTTACATTTCCTGGAGAGACCGTGGGTTGGAAACTGGAGGACTTCTTTGGTAATTCACTGGATAGGAACGGTAAGGGACAAAGGCAAGACGTAGAGGAGCCTGTCATCCCGTTTGGCACTGGAAAAGCAGACTACTCTAATCTTAGAGGAGATTTTTACGGATACTTCTTATGTTTTATATACGGGAAGTGGTTTCACAGAGAGAGCCTGCATAACTGGATCCCTCAGGGTCTAGACATAAGTTCTTGGGAAACTGTCCGCTGGTTTATGACACGCCGAAGGAATGTTTTCAATGGGAGGAATCTGAATGGAGGATCAACATCAACATCGATGCCAAACAAGCGGAAATCAAAAGGAACAGGCACTTACATTCCTGAAATGGTACATTCACCGTTTACTCTTTCACTTGTATTCCTATTTTGGAAAAGAATTTGTTTCTGATATGTATGATTCATCGGTTTTCTTGCAGGGTCAACAATCTTACACCGGTAGGTCCAGTAGCAAACCGAGCACAGTGAAATCATTACCTTCAGCATCTCAGACTCATCAGTGCAAAAAGAATCCTCAGACTCATCGGTGCAAAAAGAATCCTCAGACTCATCAGTGCAAAAAGAATCCTTGAATTGGTCTCTTAGGCTAAAACCTTTTGCCTAATAACCTTAGGTTTGTCTCGCATTCTTACCAACAGCAAACAATGACAGAGAGTTTTTTTTTTCTTTTCTTTTTTTTCTTTTTCAATGTTGGTATATTGGAAGTTGCAATGGTTGAAGCAGATGCTTCATTTTAGGATGATTCATTAAGATTGTAATTCTGTTTGACCCATGATTCATTCAGAGATCTCTCTTATTAAGTTGGACAGAAGAAAGACAATTCATTCTGATTAGCTCGTTATATATTCTTGATGGTCATTTTAGAGTCAAATCAAAATTCCACCACCAGGGTTCGAGGCACGGCTACTGGCAGGTTTACATAGGGGAATTGCCAGCCTCGTGGAATTAGTCATTGGGCCTAGGAAGCCTTTGGGAGACCCACGGTTATTCAAAAAAAAAATCCCACAAAAAAAAAACATGAAACGTATATAAATTGTTAGATTTATTACATTGCCATGACGCTGTCTTAGAAGAACAAACTTTAGTTTGATCTGATAGAGAAGTTGTTGTCACTTGCTAGTGGAGTTTAGGGCCCAACCATGCAGAGATCTTTTTATGACTATTATCCATACTTTGATATATCCTATGTCTATCCTATATGTATGATATGACGATATACTTCAAAAGCATTACGTCATCTCTCACATATCTTAAAATTATTATCATTTTCATAAACTCATGAATTATAGAGTATTTTTGCAAGATTTGCCTATAAGTTTTATATAGTTACATCAGTAATTAGGTTGATTAAAGAGATCTTAGCAAGATCACATCTAAATTTGAAACATTATCACGATAATATGGGTTTGTTGGCTTATTAAAGCTAAGTTAGGAAGTTATTGTAGATAGTATGAGTCGGTTTTCACATTCTCTAATTCCTAACTTTCTCTTCTCTTATTTTAGTGTTAAGATCGGATCCCAATGATACATACGTGTCTATTTTCGACAATCAGTAACATGTTTATTAACTTGTAATGCATTTCTAAGCGAGACATGATCATTAAAAGATAAGGGAACGCAATTATTCACTTCTTCTGTGCTAGAATGTTGTGTCGTTAATTATTATAACTAAATACTTCTACATACAAAACATAGTATATATTAATTATACACTTAGGTTCAATAACCCCATTCTTTAGTCGGCATTGACCAATGATGGCACGTGACTCCGATGTTTACGTTGTTGCTCTTTGATTACAGGCATAATAGAATTTTTAAATGAATTAGTGCATATTAGTTCCTCTAAGGCTTTTAGGCTTAAACCCTTCAAGAAACTTACCTCACAACTTGGTTTAGATCTAAATATCTCACTCTGGTTACAAGTCCAAACTGAATTGCGTGAATATCTCGGAAGTATTATAATCTCGGAATAATTGTATCTCATGACTCATAAGTCCTCCCTTTTTAGTAAAAGTTAAAAAGGGACGTGGGAGAAAAGACTAGTTTCTCCAAAATTTTAAATAAAAAATAACAGTTAAATGAGAAACAAGCCAACGTCTCAAATTTGTCCCCAACAATAAACTTTGTGGTCAATGCATCTTTGGGAAAATTTATTACTTTTTTTTTATTAAATCACTAATATTTAAAAATCTCATTATATGTATATATTGTCTTATCAAATTTCCAACAAATATACGACTTGTCATAGAACAAAGCATGCAATGATGGATCATTACGATCGATAAAAATAAAAAGATAACATAAATAAATCAAAGAAAAGAAAAAAAGTAAGAAGTTGCCATGTTATAAATCCATCATGACCTTTGTTTGCCAATTTCAACAAAGTTGGCCCTCCAAATTTAATAATGCAATGCTTCTTTTCTTATATATAGTTATTTATATCTATGTATGATCTCTATTATAAACAACCACACTACAATCTCTTCTTGAACCTAAAGACAACAAGAAGAAAGAATAATTTCATATAAATTAAATTCTCTTGTTTTCACCTTTTAAATTTAATGGATGCAAGGAAGATTAAGTTTGACGTTATATTACTCTCATTCTTACTTATCTCCGGAATTCCTTCCAATCTTGGGATGAGTAAGAGTATGAGAGGCAATACTAGATCGGAGTCGGAAGCATTTCAAGGCGGAAACTTCCCGGGAATGAAGATCAGGAAGTTGATGGCAACAAATATGGAAGTTGATTATTCAAGTGACTATTATGATGGAGGATCATCATCATCATCATCAACATCACCATCACCACCAGTGCCTGATTATGATGATATTTATAGAAGACAAGGTGATGTCCCAAGCCCTGGTATTGGCCACTGATCATACATGTCATGCGTGTATATACACATCCACATACACATTTTGTGTTAAATATTTATACATACATGTTGTTTATATATGTTTTTGTCCTTGGAGGCTGTCTTCTCCATATGATAATTTTTATGTTGCTTTTTCCTTCATTTTTGATATTTTGATTTTATTTCATTCTATCTTTTATTTTTTCCAAAAAAACAAGTGTGCCCTTTCCTATTGAATTGTCTCATTTCCTCGTGTTGATGGGAGCTTCATGTATGTAATACAAGTCGTTATATAAAATAAAACTGCATCTGTCCGTTGTAAGAAAATGTTTTTTTTTGTTTGTCATTAAAAAGAGAGGACAATTTTCTATAATAAAGAAAAAGAGTAATTTACCCACAACAATAATATAAAACAGGAACTAATCCCCACGAAACCAAGTTGAGTGCATTTCGTGCAAAGAGAAGAGACCTCTGCAAATAATTTTAATCATTTTACTAGCAATGAGGTTATAATCACTTACTACTAAAAATTAGTTCAGATATCGATTTTTTTTATACTATGTGGATATGTTTACTATTATATATTTTAGTATGTGGATATGTGTAACTTATATCCAAGAATCTTGTGGTATGCTTATATAGTTTTATGTTTTCAAAAACATCAATAAAATAAAAAAAATAGGGGAAAGAAAACACAAAAACATTCTGTCAGTTGGTGACAAAAAGAACATTCTGTCGGTTATACAGTCTTTAACCATTTCACTAAAGCAAGTTATTTATAAATTATAATAACAACAAAAACTATACAGATTTTTGCTTAATGCATGGCTGTTAACAAAGCATAATTTTTTTTTATCGCTCACATGGGACATGTTATTATCTATTGTGTGTGATATATATACATACATGTATATGCATTTTTTTAATAGCTAAAACCTCAAGAAAGTTCGGATTTATGTCGTAATTAATCTTTTCAGATTTGGAACTAGCATGTAAATGTGTGTTGATATAAATACACTATCCCTTCTAAGAGTAAATCTATCATCACTTGGCCATATGCATGCAAAACATGTAAAGTAATTAAACTAGTAAATCCTAAATGAATGAAGTTTGTTCCCTAAAATTTTGCCGCCGATTGCCAAGAAAAATATGAAAAAATCGTATGCAAAGACAAGATTGTCTATCCTAGACTCTCTGATGGCGGGTAAAAGAAAATAAGAAAATGACCAATATGGGTTAAGAAACCCTAATAAGTATTTAAAAAACATGAATTTGTGTTAGCTCGGTTCGAAGTGAATTTTATTTTGCCAAGAGTGATTTAAAATACTAATAATGAGTTGATAGTAGATTATAAACATTTTATTGTACACTAAATACTGCAATACTCGCATTTTTTATATAAATGAAAGAGGGATTGGGAAATCCTAAAAGATTTAGATCATTAAAAAAAAATTCAGTCTCATAATAATTAACTAAATCTACACTTTTGAACTTCTTAGTCTTAAAACTTCGAAAATTTATGTCCCCACTATAAATGATAGTTCTATTTATAAGAATCAAGCGATCATTAGTATCCTGAAACCTGATTTTGGCAATCAAGAAAATAACTTGCGAAAAACATGCCCAACCTATTCTTCACTAAAACTGCAGACTCCAAAAAGACAGTGTTCCAAGCAAAATCTTGATGACCAAAGAGACTCCAGAAAACAATTTGCTCTCTAGTGAGCTTCATATATATCAACAGTATAAATCTTTTACTTATAGAAAAGAAAGCAAAAAAAAAAAAAAAAAGTATCGTTCACATCATACACCAAACTGAAAAGACAGCATTCCCCAAATCACGTATAGAATCTTAAATCATATAAAATACATTTTGTTCTTTGCTTTGAAATATCAATGTTAGTGTGATTTGTCGTCATGTAACACATGCATATAATATTAATTCATTCTTTGATTTGGCAATATGTCTCTTTATACATGCATTGAATCCACCGACCAAGTCTACTAGATGCTTTGAAAGTTTGAATTATATAATAATAGAAAGATTTGTTGTGAAGAGCTAGCTGAATCGATTTGGAGAATTGGATTCCGATCCGGTTTTATAATTCTTCGACTACAATAATGTATAAAGGTTGAAGTTGCGCAACACCTAACAAAAGGGAGATAAAGAAAAGACCAAACAAAAAGGTGGAGAAAGAAACACAAAAGAGGAGTGAAAGAGAAAGAACTCAAAGAAGCATAAAAAAAAAGGAATAGAAAAGGAGCACCAATCAATGACTTCAAATTTTTATATCTATATATATTTTTAAAATCAACAAACTTTTGTATAATATATGTAAATATATAATTGATTAGCTAAACAACTCATTTTGACACTCTTAAACAACAGAATTCAATAGATTAATGATTTTGCTATAGATAATCGGGTTACATTTCCAATCTCGTGTGGAATTATTTCTTAGAGAAATTCATATATATATATATATATATATATGTATTTATATTTTAAATTCATATTTGATAGTTTGTGAAAACTTGCGAAAGAACGATTTGAAAGCTGGGAGGAGAATATGACTAATAATTTCAAGATCGGGAGATTACCTATATTGAGATGAAATTAACATTCATACAAAACAAAAAAGTGATTGAGATGAGTCTCATATTCTACATCAACAACATATCTAAGATAAGTTTCACCAGAACTATAAGGAAAAAAAAAAAGGTCATAAAATCAAAGATGTGTAAAAATGAAGATACACGTTTAATAATAAAATTATTTGTAAAAAAATTGATATAAAAAGTAAGCAAGCTGTGGAAGCCCCTTGGTCCATTGGTTGACCAATGGTTGATTAATGCTTCTACATCAAGAGGTTTGAGGTTCGAGTCCTAGATATTGCGATTTATTAAAAAATTTGCAGATTAATAGAGGCAAGTGTGCATGAGATCTCCAGCGATGTACAATTATAGTCGTTCGCCAGGATTCTACGCAGAGAAAGAAGTGTCGCCAGGTCGTGGATCATTGAAGGTATTCATCAAGATTATGAAGAAGGAAGTGTAGTCTGTCGTAGATCCAATAAGGGTCGGAAGGAATTGTCAGTTGTAGAATCGTCTATGTAACAGTTCTCATAATTTGCAATTAATAATAAATCTAGACGACAAAAAAAAAAAAAAAGTAAGCAAGCTATTAAACCATTTTAAATTTTAATAACTGTATATATAGATTTTTAATTAATTAATTATTACCCTTATATTTTTCATTAATTATTTATCATCTAGTTGTTCACCTTAATAGGGGAAAAATCTTAAATACATTGCTTATCTGATTACCATTCATATTTTGTTTTCTTTAGAATCTAAATCTACCATCAATTAAAGAAAATTACAAGTAATTTATAATATAAAAAAAGAAACAATAAGGTAGTTTTAAAAATTTAATACTATTGTCTATTGACTATCTATAGTAACAAATAATAATTTTTTAAATTACGAATACGCTTCTCCTTTTGAGTGTTTTAAAAGCCGTTTATATGTTTCTTCTTGTTGTTATTGAAACTGAAAGAAAGAGCTAGAAAAAAGAAAAAGAAAAAAAAAACAGTTTAGATTTTCGTTATTGCAACTAAAAAATTCGGAAAATAGAGAGAAAGAGAGTGAGGTTGGTCGTGGCCAAATTTTGAGGCTGATCAATGGTAGAAATCTTGCAAATCAATGGCGCAAATTCTGTTGGTAAGTAAAGAGAAAAAGAAAATCTTTTTTCATTTAGATGTAACTGTCGGGAGAGCACTCACGTGTTTCTGTCTCTTCACCTGTAAATATTCTCGCCACGTTTGCTCTCTTCTTTTTTTTGTTTTCCTGAGAAAACGCAAAGAAAAAGGCTTGTTTTTTAAATTCGCTATAGCATGTGGAGGCTATGGGTTCTTATCTTCTTCAACATTTCTTTGTCTTCAATATCTTTAATTCTTCAATGATAAGCAGATCATCTCCATACACATCGATTCACGTCACCCACCCAGAAAAATTCAAACTTTGAATAAAAAATTCTGTAAGTGGGAAAATATAAAACACAGTTGGCAATATGGGCAAGCTAATAATTGATTATCTCCATTTATGGCTAAAAGCTCTACACTTTCTCAAGTCACTTCATTTTCTGGGTTTTTCTCTATTTTGAATCTTATCTTACCTAAAGGTGGGTACTTGTTGTTCAATTTTAGTGATTTAGGGTTTTTGATTGCACTTCTTTTCTGGGTTGTATCTAAATTCGTGGCATGTGCGTGAATGTGGCCTACTTTGTTTTCTTCCTTCTTATTTGGGAACAGAGTTGGGTTGTCGTATTTATTGTTACTTTGTAGGTTTCACTGTTTTCGTCATGACTTTTCAATTGCTTCTGCCCAATTTTCTTTAGCTTCAGATTCATAAATCTATCTTCTTTTCTTTTGGTTGCCCAGGTTTAGCGTGTTAGGCTGAAGATTGAAGAGTAACCATGGATCTTAATCTCGGAAAATGCTGTGGTTCTCGTTCTTCTAAGGTTTGTCCATTTTCTTTTAGATTTAACTCAAATTTTGGAGCTTTGAGATGAATAAAGATTGGAGTTTTGACAATTATGCAGAAGGAATCATGGAGATCGGTTTTGCTTCTTGCTTATCAGAGTCTTGGTGTTGTTTATGGAGACTTGAGTATCTCTCCGCTTTATGTCTTTAAGAGCACTTTCGCTGAGGACATTCAACATTCAGAGACCAATGAAGAGATCTACGGTGTTATGTCCTTTGTTTTCTGGACTCTAACTTTGGTTCCTTTGCTTAAGTATGTCTTCATTGTCCTCCGAGCTGATGATAACGGAGAAGGTGAGGGGAAGAGACACTCTCAGACCAGAAACTTGTCGAAAAACCGATAATTTGTTTGCTCCTTTGCTTATGAAGTTATGTTACATTTGTTTTCAGGTGGAACTTTTGCTTTGTACTCATTGATCTGCCGTCATGTCAAAGTTAGCCTCCTCCCAAACCGACAAGTCTCTGACGAGGCATTGTCCACTTATAAGCTGGAGCATCCACCGGAGAAGAACCATGACTCGTGTGTGAAAAGATATCTGGAGAAACACAATTGGTTACACACTGCTTTGCTGCTTCTGGTTCTTCTTGGGACTTGTATGGTCATTGGAGATGGTCTTCTCACTCCAGCTATCTCCGGTATGTTTGCTTCTGTGTGTGTAGATAGATATTCCAGTGTCGAATTGTTGGTTAAAAGAGTTTTCTAATTTTTTTCTTTTTGTTGTATGTAGTTTTCTCTGCTGTGTCAGGTCTTGAGCTAAATATGTCTAAAGAACATCACCAATGTAAGTACACAAAGACTGGTTAATGTTAGATTTTGCTTTTTGAGTTCTGATCAATGATGGCTTTCTTTGTTGATCAAACGTGTAGATGCAGTAATTCCTATTACCTGCTTCATATTAGTCTGCCTTTTCTCGCTTCAGCATTTTGGGACTCATCGTGTTGGGTTTGTTTTCGCGCCCATTGTCCTCACTTGGCTGCTCTGTATAAGTGGTATTGGCTTGTACAATATAATACAGTGGAATCCTCATATTTACAAAGCTCTCTCTCCTACATACATGTTCATGTTCTTGAGAAAGACGAGAGTAAGTGGATGGATGTCTCTTGGCGGGATTCTGTTGTGCATAACTGGTGAGTTATAACTTATAAGATATCTATATCGTTAATGCTGCCATAAAAATGTCAGTAATTTAACTCGTTGAGTCTTTTTCTAGGTGCTGAGGCCATGTTTGCTGATCTTGGTCACTTCAATTATGCAGCAATTCAGGCAAGTTTGAACTTAGCTTGGATGCTTTACTTATTGGTATATCGCCACAGGTTTCAATAATTCTTTGTTTTGTATGCTGTAGATTGCATTTACCTTCCTGGTTTATCCGGCTCTTATATTGGCATACATGGGGCAAGCTGCGTACTTATCCCGCCATCACCATTCTGCTCATGCGATTGGGTTTTACGTCTCTGTGCCAAGTCAGTAGTCTGCCTTAATTCAAGAACTGAAAATTTATTTGGTGTTGACCATTGAGAACAAATCTGAACTTCTGTTTCCTTGGTTTTGAACAGAATGTTTGCACTGGCCTGTGCTTGCAGTAGCGATTCTTGCTTCTGTTGTGGGAAGCCAAGCGATCATCAGCGGGACTTTCTCCATTATAAACCAAAGCCAGTCTCTTGGATGTTTTCCTCGAGTCAAAGTCATTCACACCTCCGATAAGATTCATGGTCAGATTTACATACCAGAGATTAACTGGATGCTCATGATTCTCTGCATCGCTGTTACGATCGGGTTTAGAGATGTCAAACACCTGGGAAATGCGTCTGGTATGAGATTCTTATATCAGCTCATATATTTAGGATTCTTCAAATGTGAGATTATAAATATTTGTTCCTTTTGTGGTTGCAGGTTTGGCTGTAATGGCGGTTATGCTAGTGACGACTTGTCTTACCTCATTGGTCATTGTTCTTTGCTGGCACAAGCCTCCGATTCTGGCCCTCGCGTTCCTTCTCTTTTTCGGATCAATAGAACTTCTTTACTTCTCGGCCTCACTCACCAAATTCCGTGAAGGCGCTTGGCTTCCCATCCTATTATCCCTAATTTTCATGATCATCATGTTTGTTTGGCACTACACCACCATAAAAAAATACGAGTTTGATCTCCAGAACAAAGTCTCGCTTGAATGGCTTCTTGCACTGGGTCCAAGCCTCGGAATTACTCGAGTCCCCGGTATCGGTTTAGTCTTCACAGACTTAACCTCCGGAATCCCTGCCAATTTCTCCCGGTTCGTCACCAACCTCCCTGCTTTCCACCGTGTTCTCGTTTTTGTCTGCGTGAAATCTGTCCCTGTCCCATTTGTTCCGCCTGCTGAGAGATACCTTGTGGGCCGTGTTGGTCCTGTTGACCACCGCTCTTACCGCTGCATCGTTCGGTATGGATACCGTGACGTCCATCAAGACGTGGACTCATTCGAAACTGAGCTCGTGAGCAAGCTTGCGGATTTCATCCGTTATGACTGGCACAAAAGAACACAACAAGAAGACGACAACGCTCGGTCAGTGCACTCCAACGAATCCTCAAGCGAGTCAAGACTGGCCGTGATCGGAACAGTAGCTTACGAAATAGAAGACAATCTCCAACCAGAGAGCGTCTCAATCGGATTCTCCACAGTCGAAAGCATGGAAGACGTCATACAAATGGCCGAGGCAGCCCCAACCGCCACCATAAGACGGGTGAGGTTTGCACTCGAGGAAAACAGTTACGAGGACGAAGGATCGTCATCGTCGGCAGAGGCAGAAGCAGAACTGAGAAGCGAGCTGAGGGATTTGCTGGCAGCGCAAGAAGCAGGGACGGCATTTATATTGGGACATTCACATGTAAAAGCGAAACAAGGATCATCAGTGATGAAGAGATTGGCAGTTAATTTCGGTTATAATTTCTTGAGAAGAAACTGTAGAGGACCTGACGTGGCTCTTAAGGTTCCACCTGTTTCTCTTTTAGAAGTCGGCATGGTTTATGTTGTTTGACTTATATAAAACTAAATATATGAAAACCTAATTCCTCTGTTGTAAATTCGTCATGTTTAGCTTCATAGATCTCTGTTTCTGTGTTTTTGTTAGTGGTTTGACAAATGGTTAGATCAAGATGGTCAAATTTTCAATGAGAGAGTCATAAATAAAAAAGCTTACCAAACTTTTTGTGGACATAACATATTAAACGACAGCGTATGGGCGAGTGGTCCAAAACGGTGCGTTTGGGAGTTGGAGAATGGGCATGGATCATGGCGGGAAAAAACTAGCAGATATGGCGGGAAAGGCCCAACTATACACACTTCACAATGCCCTTAATTCGTGTTTGAGCAAAGAAGACTCAACATCTCATCTCTCAATTCTTGGCGATTCTCTTTATAGAACTTTGGCAGAAAAAGTAAGAATCAAAGGTTGGTTTGAGATATGGGAGGACCAGCTTACGATTGTCTGACTAACCCTTTAGGAGCCGTTCGATTCTCCTTCGTCAATGCTCTGTCTTCTGGCTATGATCCGGCGTCGTCTGTCGGAAAAGACTGGGGCGTCGTCGATTTGTTCCGTCACTACTTCTCCGACGAATCTGCTATCTCCCAGGTTTACCCTAAAACCCTTACTCTGCCTTCTTGTGTTTTGGGTTTGAATTCGGTTTTATCAATTTTCAGCAGAAAAAGGTTGGATTTTTCGTGTAATTTGGTTCTGTTTCTAACTAAATCAGCTTACTTTAGGTTTTAGCCTATCCACAGATTGGTTAATTTTGGGGTTTTAAAGGATCTGTTCTGAGATATTATTCTTAATTAACGGACAGTGTTTTCTTTGACTACCGTAGGTTCCAGTTCTTGATTCGTCAAGTATTAAGTGGGTGGAACCCAAGACTCTTGTTCGGTTTCGTGGAATGATACAGGACATGCTTGGAAATGAATTCTATGCTGGTGCTTACAAGGTATCAATATATGAATACTTTCACTTAATGGTTTTTAGTAGAAAAGAATTTGTCAATACTGTTTTTTTTTTTTTTATGTTCTGTTTAGGATGATTCAACATGGAGAACAAACAAGTACAGTGATGTATCACAGTTTCCCGAGGGTTCTTCTACTGAAATGCAAGTTTGGGAGCGTCGCTTACTATACTGTGTTCCAGTATGTTTTGTCTCATGCTGATCATTGTTTTTTGTTGTTGTTGGCTTTCCTAGATGTTTAAACATAATAACACTTGGTTTCAATGTTTAGGTTCCAGGACAAAACCAATGGACTGAATGTTCTTCTCAAGAGCTGAAGAACCGGTTTTTGGATCTAACTGGCCAAAACAGGGAAAAGCGTGTGAGGGTGGATGAAGAAATGACTGATTCCATGGACTCCAATGTAAGTAATCTAGTTTCTCACATTTGCTTTATTTGAAACCGATATTGTTGTAGCAACATCTATTGGAGTTGTTGGTCAATAACTTATATTAGCCACCATTGCAGACTTTAGAAGCTGGGCTTAATGGCTCTCCTTTTAAGAAAATGGTAAGGATCTAGTGTCTCAAGTCTTTATTCATAAGTATAACACTGTAAGCAATGAAGTTGTGGAAAAACCATAAATTGGAAAACTTTTCTTACTGTTACTGTGAAGAATCATGACACATTGAGATTTTGGTTGATGAATTATTTCTGATTATACTGTTTATTTATGTTTATCAGAAAGTGGGGGAAGCTACTTCATCAGCTTCAGAATCTCAGGTTCCACAAAGTTCTGGTATTCCGCCTGCTACAAGTACAGAGTCTCTACCTTGTCTTGTGAAGGTAAATATATGTTTTCGTTTTTCATTATATTACCTGTTAATACAAAAGTTGACAAAATTCTTATGCGGCCACGCAGATGTATGATTCTCCGGAGTCAGATTTGAAGCTGAATGATGTGGTTGAATTCCTTGGAGTGTTGACCTTCGATCCAATTGTTATGATGGATACAGATTCACTTGATGAAAACACTGATGATCTTTCTGAAGCTGAATCTGTTCAGATGCCCTCTGGAAAGGTCCCACGCCTCCATTGTCTTATCCACAGGAAGCTTGAAACACAACATTTCCTGCATGGTTCTTCATTATTACCGGAGGCAAGTACCATCGATTTAGAAAATATACCTCTCATACCTGTTCTTCTTTTGACATTTGTTTTAAAATCTCTTGTTACTTTCCATTTAGCAGCCAAAATCCCCCCAAATTTTCAAAGAGATAAGAGAGAGTTTGATGAAGTACCTTACCAGTCTACTTGGGAACGATCACATTGCCGCACAGTTCCTATTATTGCATCTCCTGTCGAAGGTACGTAATTAGTTGAAAATGGATCACTTGTTCTTTATTCTCAGCTATTACTGCTAGGCCCTTGTATATTTACATGGTTTTCCTCCTTTACAGGTGCATGGGAGAGTAGATAATGTTGCTGTTGGGAAGCTTTCGCTTAATTTCATACACCTTAACAAAGAAAGCATGTCTATCTTTGGTACCCAGCTCAGTGATGCCCTCAAAAGCCTCCTACCATTCACACAATCTATACCACTTACTATTGAGTATCTGAACACTGCCTCCCTCGGTCCCAAGAAAGACTATCGAATAAACAGGCAAGAATCCAGCTCTATGATTTTAACAAGTGCATTGAATCATTCTTCTCTTGAAAGACCTTCAAGTATATTGTTTATATGACTCAGATTGATGCCTGGAGTCTTACAAATTGCTGATGGTACCCACTTGATATTGGACGAAACAGAGTTGCAACCAGGCACCTTGAACTCTGTTGGAGTTGAGAATGCAAATCTGCTTAAAAACCTCTTGGAATGTCAGAAGGTAGAGCAACGTCATTATTATTCACTTTTAATCAGTATCAAATATTAATATGGAATCTGTTGCTATTTCAGGTGGAGTATGATTTCCAATATTACAAAATGGAAATGACCACTGATGTTCAAATGCTCATCTTCTCCGAGGGGAAATCTAACATAATGCCTGCTGATTTGGTTTTACCTTTTCAACCTTCCCAAGTGAATTCATTGGAAGTGATCACACCAGAAACAGCAGAAGCTTGGAGGTGCTACTTAGCTACATGCAAATCGTTATCACACTCCATTGGGCAAGAGTTGCAACAGGTATGTATATATCTATTGCATTAGTGTTAGAATCTGCCAATCTGGTGCTTCTAAAGAAATCCATTGTTTTCAGACTTTTGAGTAAATGTTTTCTGCAAAATTTTGTTGCAGGTGGTAGAGAATGATTTGGTTGCAGCTAGACAAACGGATCGTAGTTTAGGCAGCCAAGACTTGAGCAGGTACAAAAGCCCTCCTAAGGGTTTATCCATATATCATATATGTGCAAAATTCACAATTATGTTCTTTGGTTCCACAGATTGTTGACAATGGCTCGTATGATGTCTGTGAGTTATGGTGAGACTACGCTTTCACTAGAGCACTGGCAAATGGTGTTGGAACTAGAAAGACTTAGAAAGGAGAGGCTCAAGTAAAACCACCGAAACGAAGAAGGGAGACTAAAGGTTTCGAGATTATTTGGATCTTGTAATTTTCACTAAGTTATATATGAGCAAGAAGAACAATCGTTTCCTATCTATTTATAAGGTTAAACTTTGAGCGTTTGACTGGTAATGGAAATTGTTTGAAAAAAATAAGAAAATTGTTTTAATTAGAATGTTCGCATAGTTAATTTGGAAAAGGAAACTTGAAGACTTGAGCCTTATGGTAAACGAAGAGAGTAATAACAGATTTGAACTTAAATGTACCAAAATTGGAATACTCCACTTAAACGTGAAGTACTGAATAAAGCACACGCACACTGTGACATCTCTACTTGAAGTTAAAAGTAACAAATAGATAAATTGACTAGAGGATTACCTTCTTGTTATGCAAGTAACGAAACAAAGCCAACCAATAAACCTAATTAAAGTACACTGTTAAATAAGATAAGATCTTTCTCCGCCGTATGTAAATTGATGAAATCACCAGATGGAAGTCTTGGTGTAGAGAAATCGCTCTCATAATCTTATCATGAACACTTTGTTACTTTGCTCTCGATCACATTATCTAACATCTCTCACGACTCTCGTTTGTCTGAACTGAAAGAACAAACTAAAGACGCACCCAGTTTAACGAGTTCCCAAGGTCAAACTGATCCTTAGTACATCTTGGATAGGTTTTGCCATAGCAGTTCACTAGCTGTCCAGTTTTTCTAGATCAGTTTATTTACACAAAGAGAGATAGAGAGGAATAAGAAGATCAGGTCAAAAGAAGCTTGGAGACACTTGGAATCAACAACCTAGCTGATATCTCCTTGTCGTCTTCTGTGGTTGGCCATGGAAGTCTCTGCGTAATGAAAGAATGGTTCAAGAGCTGTGTCGCGGAGGGCCTGTGTGGATGCATGTCATGGCACCGCCTCAAGAAATCTTGAGCCTCTGGAGAGATTTCTCGATGCAATATCCAATCGTAATAATATTCAAAGTACTCCTGCTTAGGTAAAGCTCCAAACATCTCATAAACCACACACCCTAGAGCATATATATCAAGGCGCGGATCGATATGTCCCGGATTGATCAGTCCGTTTGGACCAAAAGACTCTGATGGTATGTACTGAGCCGTACCAAGGGACATAAAATCATATTCAGAATCAGGTTCCTTGGATGATCCGAAATCAGCAAGCTTGAGATCCCACGGCTCTCCAGGAGTTGTGGAAGGGAAGACGAGAACGTTGGATGGCTTGAGGTCGCAGTGAACGTAACCATGGGAGTGAAGAGCCACGAGTCCTTCTAGGATCATACGAGCCGCGCGACTGACCAAAGACTCTGGTATGGGCTGTGATTTGTCGGGGAAACCAGATAAAATCTTATAGAGATTACCTTTGGAGGCGTACTCCATAAAAATGTTGCAATATTCATAGGGTTTTGTTTGAAAGTGAAGCTTGTTTGAAGCTTGGACGATGCGAGGATGATTGCGGAAACGATGCATGATCCTGAGCTCCTTCTCGAGAATCTTTTGGAGATGCATCCGCGATGACTTCTTTGCGTAGAGTCGGCCGGAGTTAGAGTCCTTCTCGAGAGAGACGCGACCGAAGCTGCCTCCGCCAAGAGAAGAGACCTTCGACAACGAAGACTCGTCCACAATCCAATCATCATCTCTCCAAAGTTGCTCCATCTTATTCTTACCTATTCGATCTTCTTTAGGGTTTTTTCTCTGTTTTTTTGTTTGTTTGTAATCTGAGTAGTTAAATGTGATAGTTACTTGACATGTACTCATCTCTATTTATATATGTACAAGCTTAAAAAGTTTTAACTATATCAAAAAAAAAAAGTTTTAACTATATCAAATCAATGTTTGATATTATCCAATGCTTAAGTATTGAAATGATGGTATTTAGCTAAACATTAAAACTGTTATATATAAAAGTTGGTTCAAGGGATTGGTTGATGTAGCAATTTCGTAATTACATTTTCAGAAAATAGCTTTATAGATTATTGAGAGTAAAATTTTTTGTTCATATGCGTAACAAGTAACAACTTCTAAGTTTCCATTTTTCATATTTTAAGTTTTTTCCTATTGATTTAATTGATCTCTTAATTTTATGATATCAACTGTTCATTATTAATTTCAATTTAAATTTCCTATAATAAAAAAAATTCAATATTTGTCAAACCCCTGAATTGTTTTTTTTTTTTTTTGTCAAAGCCATATCTACTACTCATGATATGAATCTACACCAAAAAAAAGCAACAAAAATTTTGATCACCCACTATTTACAATTTTGTTAATTTACTATATATTTTTTTCTTCTAAATCTTTCGTATTTTGATAGAATCACTCAATAAAATAATAACAAACGCAGCCGTTAAAAAAGGGTGAAAAACATAGTGGAGCCCTATCCTTGTCTCTCTCGTATCCCTTTCCTCTGTTCCATCTTCTTCCTCCGCCGATCTTCCTTTGCTCTTTCCTCTTCTTGTTCTTCTGTTTTTTTTTTTATATTTATTTTTCTCTCTTAAAACCCAATTCAAAAGAACCAAGCAAAGAAAAACCTCCCTATTAGAATCTTCCTTAATCTTCAGAGAGAATTAGTTTCCAATATATAACAATGGTTGCAAACTCAGAAGAACCGACAATGGCAACAAGAGACAGTATTTACAGAGCTGCAAGGAGTATAAAGCGACGAGACAACAGTCTCTACAACGCTCTTCGATCTATCTACCAAGACTCCATCTTCGTCCACGAGATCTCTCAGCTTTGGCCTAAACTTCCTCTCGTTGCAAACCTTCGTTGTGGTCTCTGGTACTCTCCCAAATTCGATGCCACTTGCTACTTCAAATCCACCGATGGTCATACCAACAATTTGTCCTTTAATACTTGTCGTCTCAATCTCCATCTTCCTCTTCTCGCTGGTACCAATTCAACATATCTATCTTTCATTGTTTCAGAAATTTCTCTATGCATTTAGTATCGAAAGGATATATCTTTATGCATTGTTTCGTTGTTGTGTTGTGATTGCCATTGTTTTCCCAATGGATAGGAGAAAAAGGAGGATGTATCATTATTGATTCTACTCGGAAAGGAAAGCGTTTTCCGGATAGCATGTCGAAAACGATACCTATATGGTCTTGTGTATTGAACCGTTCAATAGTTAATCATTGGAAGAGACTATGTAACATTGATGCAGTGAGTTACAATGTAGATCATAATTATCTTTTTTGAGGAAGTGTTCTTGTATTAATATTCTGTTTTTCTCTGTTTTTTGAGTAGGGTTTGACTAGTGATGATGGTGAGAAGATAAGGGAATTGTTAGATAAATGGGATTGTTCGTTACATCTACCACTTTGGGTTTCAAATTCTGAGAGGGCCTCTATTGAAGCTAGATTGGATGAGTGGACAAGACAATTAGATGAGAGTGGAGCTGATATAGCTACTCTAGCTTCATCTTTGAGAAAACCTTTGCGGCCTCTTTGGGTTTCACAGAAAACTGTCATATGGTTGAATGAAGTACCTGAGCATGATTCATGGGATTTCACACCTCTCGTTCTTGTCTCGGCTTCTGCTTCTGGTGAACTTCAAAACAGAACCAGTTCAGAGTTTAGTTGGAATTATATTCCAGGAGCTGGTGATGATGAAGAGAGTTGGGCTAGAGGTTTATCTCCAAATGATTTTTGGACACATGTTGATGATCTTATTCACTCGGGGCCTGACTTGTGTAACCAGAAAGTTGCAGAGATTGTTGAAAACGATAGAGTGTATCGAGCGCAGAGAGGTCATGAAGCTCCTCAGGTTGTTGTCAAATGCTCAAAATCTAATGGTGGAGTCAATCACGCTAAGAGTGGTGAAATCATATCTCTTACTGCACAAAAACCTAAAGTTGATGAAGAAAGTTTAGTATTTTGGTTGGCATCAACAAATCTTGCTGTTGGAGCATCACAAGTAGGTGAGTTTAGTTTCTTACTACAAATGTAGTCTCTTTCTTTTGCATTGAACTAAGCAAATCCTGAGGTTCTCGACATTTGTTTCTTCCTTACTACAAATGTTGTTGCTTTGGCCTCTGAAATCTTCTTATCCTTTTGTGTTGCAGCTGGTAAGGTGACATCAATTGACTGCATATTAAATTGTGATCAAAACCCCATCTCAGTCCCTGTATCATATCTTGAAGAGTATTTGCATCTACCCATGAAGGTATGCCTTTAAGACAAACTAAAATTTTACATGATACGCAGTTTATTCCTAGAGCAAATATTCATGAAATGTATATATGTCTTCCAGGGTTCAAAATTTGATAGATTTTCTATATCAAGAAATCTTCGTTCCGCGGTTAATTTTGCTAAGCTCAAGATGAGTTCAGGGAAGAAAGTCTTAGTTTGTTGTCAAGTTGGTAACTTTCTATTTGTATTTTTGTAAGTTCAAGCATAATTTGTAGTTTTTAACTCTTATGTCGGTCTAATCCATATTGTGACTGTGATGATAGGGGAAGATATCAGTATATGTGTTTGTTTGGCCATCTTGATGTCATTATTCAATGAAGAAGGTAATGTTTTGTACTTCTTCGTTTTTTCGGAACCATAATGGTGTCTTTAACCTTATAACACATAAATCTAAAAACACTGGAACTTATTGGTTTATAATTGTAGCATGATGCTGAGACATATTTGAATCATTTTTAGGGGACTTTGATGGTGGAAAATCCTTTGAAGAGAAGAGTATAACAAAAATGGATATGCGAAGGATGCTAATATTTATATGCAAATACGCGGTGAATGCTAGACCATCTAGAGGCAATCTAAAGCAAGTTTTTGGTTTTCTCTCGTCTCAGCGGGAAAATTCAGACTAGTAAAGTAGAAAAATGCTCCATGTATGAAGATGTATGATGTATCCCTCAAGCTTTTTTTAGTTGGAAAATCTTACATTTACGATAGTGTTGTTGTTTTGGTAGACTTTTTTTGTGTGTGTACTAAGAAAAAACTAATTATCACTGATTTGCAAAATGCTGGTAAAATCTATACTAACTTCATTACATTATAGGCATAAATCATTTATTATTCTTGATTAGATTTGTTTAGTTTACACGTTACATTAACTAGATTGAACAATATTTATCTTTTGTACAAAAAAAAAAAGAACAACATTTGTCTATCATTAAGCACACAAAGTAATTTACCAAAATATCTAATATTTATAACACATTTATATGCTTTATATATTTTTTTTTCCCCAAAAAATATAAAAAATAAAAAAATAAAAAATAAAAATATAAAGCATATAAATGTGTTATAAATATTAAATCATCTTGATTACATTTGCTAATTTGCATATTTTTTTAATAACTAAGTATTCCTAATTAGATGATTTGACACAAAGTAATTTACCAAATTAAAATATTATATATTACGTATATTGTAAAATTTACAATATATATATATATATATATATATATATATTTATGTTTTTGTATTATATAATTAAACAATTAACCCCAAAAAATCTGAGAACTAGAGTTCTAACTTCTAACCAAAAAAATACAGAATTAAGTTTAATTTGCTAACCAAAAGAAGTCTTCATTGGAGACTGTCTGTGTTCTTGACTTCTTGGCAACCTAGTCTCGTCACTATGGATATTATCGAAGATCTAAAAGAGTCTTCATTGCAGACTGTCAATGTTCTTGGCAAATTAGGTCCCTTCGGCTTTGTGTCTCTCCAGAATGATACAAACTTGGGGAAATCATACGTCAAGAAGACAAGTATTCTCGAACAGTCCAAGAATTTGGAGAAGGAGCTCAGAATCATGCTTCGTTTTCACAACAATCCCTTCATCGTTCGAGCTTCAAGCGATCATCTTCACTTCGTGACCAACACAAAAAGCATGAGTTTGTGTTACATCTACATGGAGTATGCTTCCTTAGGGAATCTCAACAAGATGATCTCTGATGCCGGAGGGAGATTGCCTGAAGATAGTGTCAGACGTGCCACACGTATGATCCTACAAGGACTCAAGGCTCTTCACTCTGAAGGTTACGTCCACTGCGACCTCAAGCCATCAAATGTACTTGTGTTCCCTTCCAACACTCTTGGCGAGCCATGGGATCTCAAGCTTGCTGGTTTCTGTTTATCCAAAGAGCCTACTATGGATTATAAACTGTTGTTTCCTGGAACCCTTGAGGAGTACATGCCGCCTGAGGCCATTGAGCAGGACAGGTTTGTTGGGCAGGACAAACTGATCGGACCAGCCTGTGATATATGGTCTCTAGGACGTATTGTTCTTAGGATGTTTGGGGGTATTCCTGTTGAGGTGAGAGGTTCTAACACTTGAAGGCTGTACGAAGATATCTCTCCGGACGCCACAGACTTCTTGAGGAGGTGCTTGGCATGGCGCCCTTCGAATCGGGCCACCGTGGATGAGCTCTTAGACCATCCTTTTGCTGCTGAAAAACTTCCATTTCTTCTTTCTTTCTTAAGGGTTCCTTCTTTTATAAGAAGGATTGCCATGGAAAAATTGTATGTTAGACATGAAGAACTGATTCCAAAACCTCAAGGGTTGCTCTGGTGATAAGAAAATGAAACTGAATGTAAGAACCGAAACTGAACGCCTACTGTTTGCAATTTCTCTTCTAATTCTCAACTCAACACTATTTTCACAAATATCGTAAGATTTTCGAATGTGAAGGGCATAACCTCATAACTTAAGCAGATTGCAAAACTATAGAGGTTTACATATATAATAATAACAAAGTCGAGACATTTATTAAAAAAAACAGCATTTGGAGATTCACATGGGAATAAAATCTGAAGCCAACATACGAAAAACAAAAATCTTGAAAAATGAAACTACAATTTAAGCTGATTGCAGGTTTCAGGCACGCGGTGCAGCTGCAGCTCCAGGTCCAGCTGGACGAGGGGCCTGTCCTGGTTGCCCAGGCTTGGGAGTATCCTCCTGATTACCATAATGTGGAAAACCAATCAGTAAAAACTCAGAAGAGCAAATCATTCAAACAAAAAAAAGATAGAACAGAATAGTCTCATTAAAAGCAGTATTGTCAAGGATTAAGTGAAGGTACTGGTTTGCTTAATCCACCTCGAAAGTCAACTTGTTAAGAAACCTACTATTCAATCTCAAAAGCTTACAAAAGGAATCCTAAATTTATCAAAACCCACATCTCAAAGATTCAACCATACTTAACAACAAGTTGCATCACATGACCAGATCGAGAAACCTTTTCTATCTTAACACAAAATGAATTAACCTTGACTAAAACTATTAAGAATCATTTGAGTTGAGAAAGAGAGAGAGGTTACCTTGCGTCTGGCGAAACGAGGTGGAGGAGTACGAACCCTACGGTTGGTGCGGGATCGAACTCTAACGACGTGAGAGTGGATAGCACAGGAGACACAGTATTGCGTCTTTGCATATAGCTTCGGTAATGTGTATGCTATCAATTACATACAAGACACATATTCAATGATGTTGCAAATCTCAGGAACAGTCCAAAAATCCAAACTTTTTAATGTAACAAAACAAAGAAACATAGAGAGAGCGATGAAATGATACCTTCGTAGACGCTAGCTTCCTGAACATCTCTAATAGCAGCCTGCTCCACAATGTTCCTCACAATGAACCTCTTAATGGCCTTATCCTATCCAAAATCATATAACCAACCACAAGATCTAATCAAAACTCCACATAGGAACTACTAGAGATTGATTGATTGAGAAGAGAAGGTGGAAGAGAGTACCTTGGGACAACATTTGCCACAGTTGGAGCATCTGATTGGCTTGACGTGACCTCTGTTGTGCTTGTTCCTTCCACCGTTCCTACGCTTGAAAGTCTGCAACACAAACAACAACAATGGAAGATCATTAACTCTCAATCTTTATTGTAAATCGAAGATAAGCAAACGAAGAGCTAAACAATGGATAAGTACCATCTTTGGCTTTTCCTCTGTTCTCGATGTCGATGGACTTTTACTGTGTGTGTCTGCTGCTGCTAGGGTTTACTCTCTTCTCATCGATCTCGTCGTCTATTCTCAGATGGAGGAGCAGATCTGTATTGCTACTTATTGGGCCTTAAATTATTTTGGGCTTTAACGTATTTTGGGCTTAGGTTTTATTTTCTCTTGTTTTACAATAAACAAACACTGACAGTGAGTTTTTCATTCCAAGCAAAAGTTGGTCATGTAACACAACCCCCAACAAAGAATTCCTCTGTAAAGTCACAGTGACTCACAGTTACTTTTTTCCCAACAAAATCACACGTAACCTTAACAAAATAGAAAGAGATATCCATAGATAATCTAACAGTAACAAATCTAAATTAATGGAGATACATTTAAGAGTAAACTTGAATTTTGCATACATGCACTAAATATGAATATATGTTGTTGGATGGAAGCTCAGCTTCATTTACCTCAGGCGTCGGCCCCTCACAAAGATCATTCATCCCCACAACCAGACCCGGAATTTACAAACTGCTTTGTGGATGCAGCATGGTGCATGGACAGACTCAGGGTCTTGCGGGTTGGGATGGATTTTGCAGGATTCAAACAAAGTAAAGATCAAGGAGAATCAGGCCTCCCGTAGCTTTTGTTGCAGATACAATTGCTGTACATTCAGCCTTGGCGGATGCTCAATCTACCGGTTTTCTACAGCTAAATGTCTTCTCGGACTGTAAAGAGTTAATCTCCCTTCTCAACTCAGGAAATAGCATCGTCGCACTTCGAGGGCGACTTCATGATATCAGAGAATTGAGTGTTTCCTTTACCCATCTCTGTTTTTATTTCATTCCTCGTTTAAGCAATGTAGCTGCAGATACTCTTGCGAAAGCAGCTTTGCCTTTTGTTTCCCCTTCCTCCGTTAGTGGAGGTTAAGGATGCTTATCATTTATATAATGAAGTTTGATAAAAAAAAATAAAATAAAAAAGAATTCTCCAATAGAATATGCAGGACTTATATATTTGAACTTTAGTATATACTTACTAACATAAAACATGAATAAATGAGTGCTTAACTGATCAGCACATCGTTTAAATGAGTGCTTAACTGATCAGTACATCTGCACAACCACACTGGTAAAACCTATTTAAAGAAAGAAACTGACCAACTAAACAACTGAACCTAATTAAAGTATGTATATCGTTCTTTATGTAGATTGCAATCACCATATGGAAGCCTTGGTGTAGATTGCAATCACCATATGGAAGCCTTGGTGTAGAGAAATCGACCTCAAAATCATATCACGGGAGACTTTGGTGTCGATGGCATTTATCTCACATCTCTCACGGCTCTCGTTTGTTTGAGTTGAAAGAAGAAAGACGCACACAATTTAACGAGTTCCCAAGGTCAAACCGATCCTTGGTACATCTCGGCTAGGCTTTGCCATAGCAAATCCACTATCCAGTTTTTTTTTTACACAAAAGATATAGAGAGGAATAAGATGATCAGGTCAAAAGAAGCTTCGAGACACCTGGAATCAACGACCTAGATATCTCCTTGTTGTCTTCGGTGGTTGGCGATGGAAGTAGTTCTTGTGTAATGAAAGGATGGTTCAAGAGCTCTGCCGCGGTGGGCCTGCGTGAATGTATGTCCTGGCACCGCCTCAAGAAATCTCTAGACTCCGGAGAGATAACTCGACGCAAATGCCACTCGTAAAATTCTTCAAAGTACTCCTCGAGAGCTATAGCTCCAAGCATCTCATAAACCACACACCCTAGAGCATATATATCAAGGCCCGGATCGATGATCAGTCCGTTTGGCGGAAAAGACTCTGCTGGCATGTACTTAGCCGTACCAAGGTACTTAGAATCATAATCGGTATTAGGCTCCTTGGATGAACCGAAGTCAGCAAGCTTAAGATCCCACGGCTCTCCAGGGGTTTTGGAAGGGAAGAGGAGAACGTTGGATGGTTTGAGATTGCAGTGAACGTAACCATGGGAGTGAAGAGCCTCGAGTCCTTCTAGGATCATACGAGCCGTGCGACTGACCAAAGTCTCAGGTATCTTTTGTTCTTTCCTGCGGAAACCATATATAAACTTATTGAGATTACCTTTGGACGCGTACTCCATATAGATGAAGCATTCAGAGGGTCTGTTATTGATGAAGCATTCAGAGGGTCTGTTGCTTTGTTTGTGAAGGTGAAGCTTGTTTGAGGCTTGGACGATGCGAGGGTGGTCACGGAAACGATGCATGATCCTGAGCTCCTTCTCGAGAATCTTTTTGTGATGCATCGGCGATGCCTTCTTTGCGCAAAGTCGAGATTTGGAGTCCTCCTTGAGACACACGTAACTGAAGTTGCCTTGGCAAAGAAGAGATAGGGTTGTCAATGAAGACTCGTCCTCAATCCAATCATCATCTCTACAAAGTTTCTCCATCTTACGTATACGATCTTCTTTAGGGCTTTGTCTGCTTTTTTTTTGTTTTGTAATCTTAGTAATTTATTGTGATAGGCACATCAAATGTTACCCTATATCGATCTACTTATATAGTTTCTGCTAGGTCGGTTTGTTGTTTTCAATCGGAACTACGACGTATACGGCCTTTTCCAATAACGGATTTTAAAAATCATGTCAGATTTACAAGTTAAACTATATCTAAATTAATGTTTAATATTATCCCATGCTTAAAATATTGAAATAAATTATTGAGGTAAACACTAGAGACAAAATAAATACATTTATAAAATTTTCAATAAAATAGTTGGATATATTCTCTTTCGTTTTTTTCAATGTGATCACCAAATATCTAAAGGAGCTCTAAACAATTGAGTTTTTGGAAACCAGAGCTACATATATATGAATATTCTCTTCCAAGTAGTATTCAAACAAAATAAAATACATACTTTCGTTAAATACATAAGAGCAGTCTTGCTTTGTTTTTTTAGTTCTTGCTATCTACGTCTAAAGTCAGTTTTTGTTGTAATCCATATTCTTATTTGTTTCTTCTCTGTAAAATTACATCTAAACAAAAGAAATATATGTAAACAATAAATAAAGCAAATACAAGTAATTTCCTTTTTTCTATATCTCATCTCAGAACACCTCTATTAATTAAGATTCTCTCAAATAACAATATTTTAAATAGAATTTAGTGATTTCAATTAATTTAAATTTGTTGGAAAATTAAACCAATATCTATTGGAGATTTTGAGAGATTTAGTGGAATTTCCATATTTTGAGAGATTTTGAGAGATTTAGTGGAATTTCCATATTTTAGTATTTGGAGAGATTTGAATAAGTTTTTAGGATAATTAGGTTGATTTGTTAGTTTTTTTTTTTTTTTTTAAAGAAAAATAATAGGTGATTAGGTGAGATTTACTAGAATCATTTAGGAGGGTTTATTAACATAAACAAAACAGAAGTCGACGATTAAAAAAGAACTAATCAGAGTATCTCACTCCAAATCTCATGAGCAATCATCGTCTCTCTTCTCTATATCTGCAATATTATGCCCTCTTAATCTCACGACAAAAAGATACTTAATATTAATTATATAAAAAAAATGTTGAAGACTCAAAATTTTGTGTCTCAAATGTATGTTTTTCATCAGAGGAAATCTTTGTAATCTTCGCTTGTTTTCACATTAGAGATGACATAGTTTGCACATGAATGTAGAAATTTGCTTTTACGATCAATGTAACTAGAGAGATTTTCAAAAATCCATGTTTCAATACACCCCCCTAAGTGACATATGTAAGATGAGTTTCTTATTAAGAACTCATGAATCCTTAACAAAAACCCCAAAATTTTCTTTATTACAAAATCTAAATGTATCGAACAATCACAAGGCACAAATGCTTAATTTTAATGTGTGATGGTTTGGGGATTATTTGGGCGTATATTAGGCCGCTGGTGGAATCTTAGGCTTTTTGTAGCACCTCCTTTGCTTTGTTTACCCACACACTGAATATATCGTCAGCGAACAAAACAAAATGTACCTTAATAAGAATAACAATATGAGATCAAAAATGTGTCAGTCACTCAGCGAATTGATTCCATGGAAGTGTAACAATCTAGACAAGAGAAACTATCTTTACCTCTTTAAAGTCATTAGAGAACTGTTTGATGGTTGATATACCGATCGCAGCAGCTTCATCAAAAGGATATCTAACAAAAACATTTCGAACATAAGGTTTCTCTTTGAGTTTGCACAAAATTCCAAGAGTAGTCAATCACTAATGGTAAATAATTAGTTGAATAGGTCTTGTAGCATATCATGCTCTAAAGAGCAAATCTAAATAGGGAAACAATATAAACCACTTAGCCTCTGGTTGTGAAAACTTTACCCGTAAATCCCACAAGATATGGCAGGAAATGCAATGTATTTGATGTTGTTTTCCTTTGCAACTCTCAGACTATTTCTGTAGCAAGAAAAAAGATGAACAGTTGGTTCAGAAGAAACATGTCTAGTAGAGTAAACAAGAGAAACTGTGTTTACGCTTACTTGTAAGCATTTGTGAGGGATTCTTGAGGGTTGACATCAGAGTCATAGATCGGTCCAACAGTGTGAATCACACGCGATGCAGGCAAGTTAAAACCCCTGTTCCAATATTTCAATCCAACAGGTTCATCACTCAACAATCCCAATTTACATCAATCTACATTTATACATGAGTAGAAAAAGGGTAATCTCACGGAGTAACTCTTGCTTCTCCGGTTGGACAACGGACTCCAGGACGAACTTCAGGAACCTCATAGCATGCAGCTCTGAGTTGTGGCCCAGCAGCTCTATGTATTGCTGTCACATACATAATCAGATTTAAGATTACACCAACACAACCACACAATGGCATTGGATTGAACAGGACAAAGGATCCTAAAACATACCTCCATCAGCACCACCACCACCTAACATACGTTCATTTGCTGGAGTGACCTGAAGAAACAGAATGCTTAAGTCAAAAGTAATAATCATGCAGCAAAATTGGAGAGAACTAATAATACAATCCAAGAGCCTATCAACCATTTTCATCTAATCTTAGAAATCTATCAATTGTGGAAAAACCAGCCCTAGAATTTTGAATTGATTGAGAAAGAGAGAGACTTTACAATAGCATCGGAGGAGGAATCAACGGACCACTTGGTGATGTCTCCTTTAAGTATCTTAAGAAGGCTAGAATCTGACAAATTGAAAACAGCTCCTTCGTCTTTAGAAGCCATGGATGATACGGTTGTCAAGCGAGAAGTCCTCGTAGGAGAAGAGAGAGTAGACGAAGAAGAAGCGACCAAGGAGGTGGCGGAGATCAGAGAAGCTCTCGAGGAAGACGAAGTTGGTCTAAGGATCGAGCTCGAGTGAAGTAATCTAGGGAGGAGACTCAAGACTCCACAGGTCAACCATAGTCGTCTCATTTGAGTCGTCGCCAAATTCTCTCTCACACTAACGGAGTTTGGTGGCCCATTACTAATAGTGATGATAATGGGCCTATTAATGGGCCTGATTAGATGAGAAAGCACGCACGCTACGAAAGATTCCATAAAACATCAATTACATATTTTATTTCTCAAAGCTTTGTTTTCCTTAATTGTGATACAAGTTTACTACATGAGAGAATGGCTTATTTTTGGCGGGGTTGCATAAACTCTTAAACCATTTTGAAGCAACAATTGAGATTACTGAAGAATCGAGTTTTGGTTGTTCTCGGCGAAGGGGAGAAGTTGCGGCCTTGTGGTGGAGGTGGCAAGTCTTTTGCCTTGTTCAGCCACACCGTGTATGTTTCTTCGTTAAACATAACAAAATGCACCTGAGAAAGATTTTCTATTTGTCAGTAACATGGCGTAGAAACACTTACTAACTTGAGATATCAAAAAGAATTTCTTGGAGCATTTTTGAAGCATGATTAGTTTAAGGGAAAAGTTTAGTGGCAATGCAAATAATTTTACCTCTTTCAAATCTTTACCAAATTGCTTAACAGTGGATATAGCTATAGAAGCAGCTTCCTCCAAAGGATACCTAGCAAACCAATTGAATTTTTTTTCTCTTTAGATGGTTCACAAATGATTAGATATCTTTGAAAACATCTACCAACAATGCAAAGATCAAGTTTTTGATTCTTCCTAATATCTATAACTTTACCTGAAAATACCACAAGATATCGCAGTAAATGCAATGTACCGAATGTTATTTTCCTTAGCCACTCTCAGACTGTTCCTGTTACCAACACCAGTATAGATACACAATCCACTGAGAAACTGCAAGTGAAGTAACCAAGATAGATATTTTACTATAGACAGAAATTAAATGTGTTTTCTTGCTTACTTGTAAGCACTTTCTAGGAGTTTCTTAGGATTCTTCTCGGCATTATAAATGGGTCCAACCGTGTGAATCACATGAGATGCAGGCAAGTTGAAACCCCTAAGTCCATTTCCAATAGAAAGAAAGAAAAAAACAATCAACAAACATAAAAAGAGATTCATAACATTTTAAACATACAAAAGAAATAGAGAAGGAAAAAGCGAAACTGACGGCGTAATTCTTGATTCTCCGGTGGGACAACGGACTCCGGGACTAACTTCAGGGACTTCGTAACATGCTGCTCTCAACTGTGGCCCAGCGGCGTCATGAATGGCTTTATTAATATGTATATGAGAAATGAGTTAGTTAGAAAGGTTGTTAATGATCGTTACTATCTCCCTTATTTCCTAACTCTGAATAATAATATGTACCATCCATATATATATAATAAGATTTATTAATGATACTAAGGTTAAGAGAATAATTGAAGAAAAGTACCTCCATCTGCACCATTACCACCTAACATACGCTCATTTGCTGGATTAACCTGAAGCAATCAAAGTTTTCTCATTCTCATGTTCAAAGTTAAAAAGGCATTGAACTTTAAAACTGGAAAAAAAAAGAGAGAAGACTGACAATAGCATCGGAGGAGCCATCGACGGACCAGTTTGTGATGTCGCCTTGAACGATCTTAAGCACGCAATAATCAGACAACTTGAAAGCTACTTCTTTACCGTCAGACACCATCACTGGATTCGCCAAAGCTTTTACTACTCCGGATATAAAATTGACGGTTGTGAAAACAGAGACGAAAAATACAATTCTTCTTCACGCGGTTATTGACCGTTGACTTAGAATGCTCCTTGTTGGTACTCGAAATTATTAAAGTTATGTACAGTATACTTATTTCAATATTTTGGGCTTATAGTTATAGCGATACTGGATTACAAAGAAAACAAGGCCAATAAGGCTAAATTCATTAAACATGTAAAAAAATTTGCTTTTTGTAGGCACAATTAATGAAAGAAAATACAACCATTGAAGCAATAATAATTCTTATATAAGAAAACAAAAAACAAAAAAAGAGAGAGGCTAAGCTAAGCGGGTGCTTACGAGCCACCTCAGCAATACGCAGCCACGTCAGCACCCAAAACAGAGAGATGTGGATGATGATGGTCTGATCAGAATTGACCGCCTTGGTAGGTTTGTCCGAATTGCCAATTAGAAGGAGCCACGTCATTGCTAACGAGTGTGCGACCATCGCTGGTGGTGACCTGGAAGGAAAGGCTTTGGTCGTTCATGTAAGAATTGCTCTGCCAGTTTTGTCCCCAATTTCTAGACATTGCTTGCCACGACTGTGTTTTTGAGCCTTTGATCGAGACAGCGTGTACGTCTCCTGCTCCTCCTACGTTCGAGATCAGGACGAGGTTGAAGTATGAATGTCCGTTGATCGTGAACCTTATTCCTCCTTTCTTCATACATGGTACTCTGTAATAATCACGTAAAAACACCGACATAAGCCATTAGTTTAATTAAGAACATAGACTTATAAAAGCTCTTGCCTAGGCTTTTCTACACGGCAAACATCACTAGTAAAAATTAATAATGGCACAAAATATCCTAATGTATTTGTTAATTAGGTTTTAAGTTTTAACAATGGTAGCTACAAAAGTCATGTCTCTAAGTCAATTATATTGGTAAATATAGATTGGTGATTAATCTTTACATCAATTACATGTAAAATAGTTTGTTTTGTTTCCTTAGGTTGGCTTTGTTAAAAAGTGTGTGTGTGTGTGTGTGTTTTTTTCCAACTATAAATCCAAAATTGTTAAAAACTATGAAGAGTTTTGTCGCAATCTTATCATTTAGCGTCCTAATTAAGTTTAAAGAAAAGTAAACGGACCTTCGGAAAGAAACAGGAACAATGCCGGCACGATACTGAGCGATCTGGAGAAAAGCTGGCTCGGCTAGGTCGAAATGTTGAAGAGGAGGATTGCACCAACCTCCATTATCGTTGGAGAGGCCAGGGTTTGGTGGGCAAAAGTTAGTGGCTGTGACGGTGATGGTAGACCCGAGACACCACCTCGGGTCATCGTTACACTTCATCTCATAGCACGCGCCACACGTGAGTCCGTTGTTGAACAAAGCCGTACTTAAAGCCGCCGTGTTCGTCCCGTAACCTTGGCCATACAAATTTCCATAGCCACAAGCTCCGCCTGATTTGTGCATGCCACTTGTTAGCTAACATACGCATGGGTATAGAGATATAATTTAGCTAACATACGCTTTTTTCTTTATTGTTATTGGTCATACGTACCCATGGTGCCGGAAGCATCTTCGCCGCCGTAGAACGTAGCGTGGCCACCTTGCCAACCTCCGTCGTCTCCATGAGTTCCTTGGAGGAAGAATGATAAGCTGAGTAAAGATATAATTGAGATTATTGAATATTTGGAGGCTGATGTGATAGACATTTTTTTTTTAAGGGGTTAGTTATTTCGGTTGTGATATCGGATATGATTTGGTGAGAATCGTGAGATTGGTATGGAATCAAATGAAGGGACTGAGAATATATAGGGGTTCTCGAGTGTATTATTGTGGCTAGAGATAAATACTATTTAAATGTTTACTATATTAAGTACATTGGTGTGTCTCTTCTTTCACCTTCTGGGGTATTCATATATTTTATTCAAGTGTTTCTGACCAATTTGCGAGAGGATTGTTCCTTTTATTCCTCGTTCAATCCCAATGTATCTACTTGTTAAATTTTTGGTTTTTATATGCATCTAGTTCTTTTCTCCAACGAAATCGAGCATCAAATTTCGAAATGGCCAAATGGGTGACTTGTGTGGATAAGTAGAAGCAAAGTCAACAATGTATGCCACCGTTAATCTTGAGCAGAGTAAGATTATTATTATTACTTTATTTTTTTGTTGCGGCCAGATTTATATTTGTATTGTAATATGTTTATGTAGGAAAATAAAATAAAAAATGTATGGATTTATATGATATAAAGATCAAAGGGCCGGGACTTTGAAGGTTGTGTGACTTGTGGTCACATGCAAATGTTGCGGTTAGACCAACTTCGATTCCTAATCAAGTGGCCCATACTTGCACATGCTTCAATACACGAGTATTTATTAATTTGTCTCGTCTTTCATTTTACGTTGGTCATAAGATCATATAATTTATTCTTGTATATTTGAAATGAAGGTCTTTTTTGTTGTTGATAAAATACTATTATTTGTGTTAAAAGTTTGTAATCAATGACAGCAGAGTGTTCAACGGGGTATTTCTACAATTTATTTTGAAAAAGTTATCTAATACTAGTATCAGCTTAAGAATCTAAGCACGGTTCCTATTAGATATAAATTTCACCAATGAAAAAATAACGGTTCGAGTGAACATAGCCAAATATGAGCACATTGGAATTTGGAAGTTATTTTTACCAGCGGCCGGTAATCATTTTAAAATAGAAACCAAGAATAAGGCACACTCTCGAAATTTCATATCACATCTATTTTTGTTCAGCTCACCTTAAACTTTTAGAAATGTAATCAAGTTTTAATCTTGCAGTTGACTATATAAAGATATTAGATAAAATTCAATATTCACCAAATCAATAATTGGCGTGTCAATTTATATGATGCATTCGACGTTATATATATAGATATTCCACAAACAACTACGTCTACAAGATTTTTGTTTTTCCTTTGTTAAAAATGAGCTAATAGTCATGGTTCTTTAGAATATTTAAATTGATCTTGTTATTGGCAAACATGGCAATGATGAATTGATACTATGCTACGCATATGACAACAACTAGTTCTTTAATTTAATACATCGTGCCTATTTTTATTTGTATATTTCGTGTAGGATGTACTTTCTGTGGAGCTACTTTTTCTGTTTTATTTTTCCAAGTCTTCAGTCGATTTAAATGATATATTATGATCACTTTGATTTTTATGGCAACACCAGTTTAGTGATTGATTAGCTCTGAAAATCGAAAGTTTTCACGATCCGACTACAGGTGTGACAAAACATTCCAATATTGTTAGGGTTTGTGTTTTTGATTACGAATATTAATTGTTAGAGCATGTTTATCAATAAACCCCAATGAGTATCATAAGCCCTTTTTTAGTATTAAATTAATTAGTTGTTTAATCAATGATACTCAATAAAATTTTTGTTAAATTTGTATGTTTAATGGTGAAACAAAATTGGATATAAAAAAAAAAATTTTTTTTATAAATTTTCAATCTGAGACTTGTTTCAATCTGAAACTTGTTTAGACTGAAGCAAGCAGCGACAGTTGAAACGTAACCGGAGCAACCCCAAGACTCTATCTCCGGTTCGGATTCCGATTCGATTCGAAACAGAACGGGAACAGAAACGATATGGCGTGGGAAATTCTTGAATTTGATTTTACAGTAGCAATTACCATATGATACATCCGCAACAGAAGGTCCCGATGAGGAAGACGACGAAGACGATGACAGTGATCTCGGGAAGTGAGCTGCGGCTGAATGATGTCCTCGTCTTCATCGCCTGAGAGAGAGAAAGGAGGAGAAGAGAGAAGACGAGATGATTAGTTAATTTCCCTTCAATTTTTTTTCCCCACTCAGCAAGTGACACGTAGTGAGATGAGTCGGTTCAGAAGACTCACTTTAGTGAGACGAATCAACCCATTCTCAGTCCAATATCAATTTTTTAAATATTAAAAATGGGCTGATACCCACATTAGTTCACCAATAAACATGCTCTAACATGCTTAGCTATTTAATTAACTGGATTGACTAGACAGACCACTAATACATTAAAAAAAATAGTAAGTGGGTCAGTAGATAGCCCTACCATGTTACAAGCACATGCAAAGACTTCTACGTAAGGCTCTCATGCATTTCTCTGATACGTCATTTTCTTGGCCCCTTTAATCCTTTATACATCCCATTCGTTAGTTACTCTCCTGTATCTCTATTGTATGAGTATATGCCTATAATGTGATCAACTAAACACAGCCATATAAGGGGGGACTTTGTGATTCCCTAAAAAATTAGAAATGTGTTATGTTTTTCAGAGAACAAACAGGATTTTTGTAAGAAAACTACAATATGTTTCGTAAATGTAGGACTAGTTCTACCAAAAGTTTAAAGACCGTTTTTTTTTTTTTCTGTCAATAACATGCAATACTTAAGTTTAGACTGGAGTGATAACACAACTGCATAAATATTTTATTTTCAATGTTATTTTATAATGATTTTTCGGAAAAGTAAATTAAAGAGAGCAAAAATAAAATAAAAATAGGTAAACTCAGACAATAAGTCACATCATAAAAAATTACTACCATGCTAAAATTAGACAATCAGTCACATCATAAAAAATTACTACCATGCTAAAATTATTAATTATTTATGACTAAAATACCTTTGCATATATTAATTTCTTAATTCTAAGAAGCTATAGCTTTAATAAAAAAAAATCATGTGTTAATATGTGCTCATTTTCATAAATATTTTTCTTGACTGAAATCACATCGCGATACTTCGCATAAATGTTGTTTTATGTAATATAATCAAATTTGCAGGCAGATAAATGGAAACGTGATATTTTATACAGTTATATCAACATACAGAAATCACTCTGTTTTTAGGGCCAAATTTGAAATAAAATTCCATCAAGGAGAAGAAGATTATGAATTTATGAAATATACTATATATTTTAGATCGACAGTGGGATTAACTTTACTTTTGAAAACTACTGTCTTCTTTTTGGTAAGATTTTCTTGACAAAGAATCTTTTAGTGGTTGGTTGAATCTTAATTTAATTGGTAAAGGTTTACTCTCAGTGTATACTATGAAATTAATCGACCGACTGTAAGATTTTAAATAGTTTAATTTCTTTGTTAACTAAAATTTCGACTACATTCATCATTGCCAACGAGACAATCATCTATTTTTGAAGCTGGATAAGAGCAAGAATCAATTGATGCAAAAACTGTTGAATTATATATCCACAAAAAGGTCACGTGAGGTCTATCCAAAGATGACCAAAAGAAAAACTAAAGGGACCATACTTTAAGTAACCATCACAAGGTTTTTGTCTATTTGTTGCCCCAAAACTGTTGGGACTATCATAACTACGTGCCTGAAGAATGGTTATGTCCAAAGAGAGAACGTCATTTCAAATGACCCAACTTCTAAGAGCCGACACCAAGATAAATAACATTCAAGTGTTCTTAAGCTTTTCTCAAGATAGAGTTGAGAGATTCTCATGTGAGTATTTAATTTTGTTGTTTGGTAGTTAGGGTACCTTATAAGTGGCATCAACATGGCTAGTTTGGTTCATGTAATTTTTGTCTTTATCCGGTTTATCACGTAACCTTGCTCTAGTTTCTAAGCTTAAGTGGGATTTTCCAAAATCTCCACCTACGAAACTATGTCGGTTTAAGAAAACTGGAAAAATACAATTTAATACATTAGTGATTTCAGACATTAGGGTTCTAATGGGAGTCTTGAGAAGCTTCTGCTTTAAGCAAAAGTAATGTGGAACTATAAAAGTAGCCAACAGGCCCAACAAAGAAGAGATTTCCTACAAATTAAATTTGCTGGAAATGAAAATAACACAAAGTGATGTAGGAGACCTGCAAAACAAAAACACCTTCTGATCTGGTTCAAGGCAAAGCCAAATCCAAATTCAACCATCTATTACAGGGATGATTAAAGAAGCAACTAGGGAATGAAGACAACATAAAGAAACAGAAATATGATCTGTTTATACTTCAGTAGCTCCCCTCGAAGAACAAGATGAATCAGGAAACAGAGAAATCAGACAAGTTAAAACACCTGTGGTCTCTATAGTTGAAACCCCAAAACCCCCATAAAGAAACCAGTTTTACAGAATAAAAAATGAATCAGACTGTCACGAAGATGTTACCTTTTTAGCTAAAGATTTCAAGGGAGAGCAAAAGAATAGGTTTATCGACAAAGCGGAATCTGGGAAATGCAGCCTCACATGGTGCTGCTACTTTCACTGACAGTGTCAGACCTACCAAAGTTTGAGCCTCTGCCACAGCTGCTAATGTCAAGCCCCTGTAACCGGCCAAGAGGGTCTTCATGCATTGCCTCTGAATAGGAATGAGATTGAGCCGGGGCATTAGAAGTAGCGTGATGCATAAGCTGATGAGCGGTGGGAGGGTTTGAGCGAGAGGATGAGTTCGGGTTTTGGTTGTTGTTGGGCTGGAAAAGATGAAACTGATGAGTCATTTGTTGCAGGTTTTGAGCATCTGTTTGTTGCTGATGATGTTGAAAGAAGGATTGTTGTGGTTGATGCTGATATTGCATGTGTGCCATTCCGAGGTTATAAGCATCAGCGGGTGAGACTTCTCCCGTGGCAAATTTCAGCCTCTCAACTTCCTTTTTCAGTTGCTCGTTCAGTGCTGCATAGGGAAGAATCATCGATAAATGACCTTAAAACCCAAATAATCATAGTATAAAGTGAGGGAGGGAGAGATTAATCCATACCATCTCGCAACTTAGCTTGTTGTTCCATGACCTGTAAACGAAGCTTGAGCTCTGTATTCTCAGATGACAAACCAGTTGTGTCTCTCTGTAAGAAGCAAGTTATAAGGCAGTAGATGAGAAACTGACTGCTATTACAGTAACTAAAAAATGTGCAAAGCAGGAGAATGTTACTGCAAATGCAGTATTGAATAAGAAACCTGGAACAAAGACAATTGTGCTGATAGGGTAGTAGCTTCAGTTTGCAAGGTCTGGACTTTCCTCTCTAGCTCCAAGATATACCGAGCCTTCCTCTCTTTCGAACGAGCAGCAGACTGTCGATTAGCAATTATCCTGCACAGAGTACATGAGACAGGATTAGACAGCTGAATGTTTCCACTCAATGTTGAAGAGTTTAGAACAGCTTAGAGAAAGTTTCCTCGCCGCAGACATTTTTTTTACTATAAGTCACAAGAACATTCATGCAATTAAGAGTGACTATCATCAAAGGTTCATCCCAGCTACAGATCTCAGAGATTACATTGGATCGCCCTTAACCCTATTGACAAAGATCAAATCCCACACAAAGCTAATTCCCAAACTTATTTGAACCACCAAAGTCACTTGAAACTATAACTTTCAATTCCTAACAGTTGACTACTAAAAGTGAATTTGAAGAAGGGATCATCTTGAAAGTTTCAGTGTTAAGAATTAAAACTTATCCAAGCCATACCACACAAAAAGTCATCATTAGCTAGGATCTCTAACCAAACATGAGTTGAAGAACAAGCTAGAACCGACCAATCAAACATAAGCTAGTACAAAAAAATTTAGTTGGGGGCCATAAAATCATCATGAAAGAGACACATTCCCACAGAATTCAACTTGGGATTTAGACAAAAAAAAAAAGCATCCTTATGGGTCCCTCATGGTTTCTCTCTCAGTAGGAAAGACCTAAAATTGAAAAAGCAGCACAGTAGAAGCTATAACTAAATTTCAGTTAAAAATCAGTTATCGTTAAGATTCGAAGATCAGAGTCAAAAAGAAAGTGATATAACACGTAACCAAGAAAAACAAAAAGATCTCCAAAAGAAACACCTAACTAATGGCATCACATCAACATCAAAAGATTACATATTCATCAAAAAGGTCATAAAGAAACCGCCTTTTTCCCACGAATTGTAAACAAAAGCATAAAACTGTTGTTAACGATCTATCAAGGAACTAGATTTCAATCAAAGCAGACAAAATTCTCGACATTTGGGATTAAAGATGAAACCTTTTAGCTCTCTTAGGGTCGACGACCCAAAGCTCAGCGAGTTTATCAGGAGCCATAGCTTTCTTAGCCTCAATTGATTCCAAAGTCGAAGAGCCATCAACGGAGAGGCTATGCCTGTGTCTAGGTCTTGAATTTCCAGCCTCCGCGCCTCCGTTGTCAGCGGAAAACGGGTTATCGGACCTAGGAGCAGATGGACCAGCCGAATCGGATGCGGATCCGGATCCGGATCCAAGTTTCTCAATATCCATGTATGAGCAAAAGAGGTCATCTTCGGATCCAAGCTCGTCGAATCCTCCGAATGGTTCAGAGAGATCCAGATCTTCAGGGAGACGGAATTGAACCTCCGAATGTGCTCTCCGGTGGTACGGACCACGAAATGGCGCCGGCGTCGGAGCTGTGGCTAAAGGCGGGCATTGTGAGAGATTGCTCTGGTTTGATTTTGGGTTAGAAGGATCCTCCATATCTGGATCGTCCTCTATCTTTTTCTCTGTTTCGCGCCCTCTTCTTCCCCTGTCTATCTGTCGGAATCGGACAGCGAAAGAGAGAGACAGGGAGATTCAGATTTCACGTTTTGTGTCCGAAGGTGATGGCCAAAAAAACACGGAACAAGCTCCAAAACAGCGTCGTTTGCGAGCACTTTATTTTTTTAACCCTTGAGAGTTTCGTCTAAGCAACTTTGAAGCTTTGTCTTTGATTACACAAAATCATATACTTCTTTTTTTGCATTTGATCTTATTAACATACATAGAAACATATAAATTACTAATTCCTTGTTCAACAATATTTAGTTTTTTCATTAAATATTGTACCAAACAAAGTAACCGGATAAAATAGTGGATAAAGACTAATATTATTTCCATTTTTTGCTATTTATAATATATTTTTTTCGATAGATCCAAATTAGAATGTATACTTAGATTTTAAGTTAACTTTAGGAATGTTTTATCGCGGGTTTATATGAAAATATAGTTGGATATCATAAAAGGAAATATACTGAATTTCAGTTATTTTGGACTTTTCACAAATTTTTTAGCAAATAACCGTTATATTTTTTTATATATTCAGAGTTTTAGGAAAAATTATAAAACGATTTAAAATTTACACACTTTAACCGTTGCAATTTATTAGTGTCTATATCCAAACATATTAGCTTCCAAAACCTTTCTACATGACTACATCAAGAACCTATTTCAAAACCGACTCAATCAATTTATATATATATATATATATAATTCTGACTAACATGTAATTTACTATTTTTGTCGCTATTTTACATGTAAGAATGCTTAGTAAATATACATATATTTATATGTATAAAGAATATAATCTATAATCTTTTCGATCGAAAAAAAAAACAAAAAAAAAAGAATATAATCTTTAATCTTGATAGCTAAATTTGTCGTATATGCCAAAAAAATCAATTAGATTCGTTGTATTTAAAATCTATTAAAGACTAAAATCTTACAAAATGAATGAAATTTTTTGTTCTTAGCACTTTTAGTAATAATAAAATCTTATAAGTGATGATATACACATCTTGATGCAGAGATTTTTTAATAAGAAATTATAGTTAGGACTTAGGAGTAACATAATTCGTAAGTGTGTGGTGTAAAATATGAACAAGTGAGTTTGGTGGAGTAAAGATAAAAAGTAAACACTTTGGTAATTAATTAGACAATTAGTGAAATTGACGAAAGAGCCCTACTTGATGATGTCTCGAGAATATAAAAGGCTCAAAGGTGAGCGGCCGAAAAAACGAGGAAGTCCTCCTTTATAACAAAAACCTCAACACTCTCACCATTTGAATTCAAAATCCCTTTTTTTCTTCCGTCTCTCATCGATTTATCCCCAAAAAAATCACTTCCTTCTTCGTCCTCACCTCACTCCTCTACACAATTTCTCAACCCTAATCATTTATTCAAATCTTGCTCTCCTGGGTTCATTAGCTTGTCTCAAATTTGCCTGTGTACCGCTTTCGTTTTCGTCTCTGTGTGGAGTCAATTCGACATCTGGGTTTTGGAAAAGAGAGATCTTTCTGGTGTGTAAATGGAGGAACAGAGAGGAATTTCCTCTGCGGTTGTGTCGGAACCTGCATCGAATTCTGGGGTTTGTTGCTTCTTTTGGCTTTCCCGATGACTTTTTGGTTCTTCGTCAAAATTTACCGTTTTTCTTTCTTTTTATTGCAATTTGTTTATGGGTTTGTGTTCTTCGTCTCTGGGGTTTTCCCAATTTTGCAGATTTCTGGCGAGAAGCGTAACGGAAATGGATTAGTAGAGAAAGATGAATTAGGGTCTAAACGTGTGAAAGTCCCAGATCTAGCTTCTGGTAATTCTTGAGTTTTGTTTAACTTAAAGGTCGAATTCGATTGTTGGAAATGATCTTTATCACTTAATTTTCGGATGATTTGTTAAACGTTGCCTACTTTTTTATGGTTATGCTACAGATGCGAAAAACAGTAATCTGCAATCTCATGGAAACAGTAAAAGTGTTCAGCAACCAAATCTTAGTAGTGAAAAGTTGTCGAAAGTATCTGAAATGCTTGTGGCTCCTGATGCTGAAGGTTTAGGAAGAGTAGTTAGAGACAAGGATGTTTTAGCTAAGGATATAAAACCTTCCACAGTTGTTGAGGCGAGAACATACTTGCCTAAGGCCAAGTCTATTTCTACAGATGATAATAGATGCGTTGTTAATTCTGGAAAACAGGCTTTGCTTGAGAATCATACTGTAAAAAATGATAGTAGTAACTGTGAGTCACGACCAGGACAGGTTGATGGCGTTTCAAAGAATAGTAGCCTCTTGAAACCGAGAGAGACTACTGAATCTGTTGGAAGTCCACGTGGAGCAGCAGAGCCTTCGGTTTCAGTTTCTGTTGGCGAAAAAGTTGGTCCTTTTCAGATGTGTAGTAGTGCAGAGGGCTCATTGGGTGAGTCAGATTCGATGCGGCGATGGAGGGAAATGAAGCGGAATGGTTTTCTATCAGGCCCTTTGGGTGGAGTTGCAGCACCTAGTTCTACAGTTGTGAGTACGCCTGTTGAAGTACCTGCGCAAAAGCAACAAAAGAATAAGCGGAGAAGTGATTCTCTCAAGAAGAGAAACGATGTCCCTAGGAAGGAACAACAGCTGGTAGATAGGTTTGCAAATGTTACCGCGCCAAGTGGATTGCTGACGGAATTAAACCCAGGAATCATTAACCATGTCAGAACTAAGAAACAGGTCTGCTCAATTATCGAAGCTTTGATTCGAAGTGCTAATGATAATGCTACTGTGGGGGAAAGGCGTACCGATTTGAATGTAAGAGGTATCTATCGTTATCATTTACCTAATTAAGATGTCATGAGACGAGAATTTTCACAATCAATGTTTGATCACTCTGTTTACCTTGGAATTTCAGAGTCAATCAGACAAGATGGGGCATTAGCCTTTAAGTTGCCATCCACCGGGGTACCTGATAATGCCATTTCCATTACAAATCCGGAACAAGCCACATCTCTTGCTGTTGAAGGTCAGTGCCTTTATCATGTTTCAGATTGCCTTGAGTAAACTTTTTGTTGGATCTTCTGGATATATGTCTGCAGTAATAAGTGGTTAAGTCCTATGGTGTAAATTGAAGACTTCTGTCAATAAACGGTTTAGGTTTTCTGATTAAAGTAAGTCTAGAAGTGGCAAAAGAATAATTGTTAGGTATTTCTTTTTTTTTGTGCATAATGATTAATTCATATGCAGAAGTGGAAACGGAAAGAAATGCTTAAAAAGGAAAATGTTTGTTTGCTTTTTAGCTGCTACCGTAGCTTCCCAATGGCTGGAATTTCTTCAACAAGACCTCAGCGGACGACTTTCAGGTGCGCATTTTACTTAATTGAAGATATACCACAGAGAGGCTTCTCGGATTAATTGAGGTTAAGAGATCTGAGTGAGATCGTATGCCTTGCAGCTGTGCAGGATAGTAGGAATAGAGTTCAAAATATTTTGACTACCGAGTTACCGCTTCTCGTTTCATCAAGAGAATCTTCTTCTAACCAAGCAAATACTCTTGAGATGGCGACTTTGAATACCTCTGGTGATGCTTCGTCCGATAAAGCAGCAACAGAGACGCATCAGAAAAGGTGGTCTGCAAAATTTGATCAGATAAATAAAGCTCTTTATGATGAACAGAGAGATTTGGTGCGTAAATATCCACTGCCTTTGAGTTAGAATGATTATAGCGACATGGTCTTTTATGCTCAAGTCGGTGTTTGATGTATTGATACTATGGATTTGAAATTTGCAGGAACGTTCGCTAAACCAAGTGAAGGAAATGCAGTCACGATGTAATGAGGGTCTACGACAAATGGAAGAGTACTCGCCTTTTAGTTCCCAATCATCCGAGTCAAGGTATAGACCAAGCAGTCCATAGAAGCATAGAAAAAGACTGGTCTAACCGATTTTCTTGTTGTACACTACGCTTGCAGTTTTAGGAAAGACGGTAATCAGGAGACTAGTATGGCGGTTCAGGCGGCTGCAGCTTCTATTTTTTCAACCTGCAGTTTTCTTCTGTCAATGATGAAGCCGCCGCCTACCGGTTCTTAATCTTGTTATTTTTTGTTTACCGAGTTTGTGACTAATCACACCGCCTATATGTTGTCTTTATGTTAGCACTTTTGATGTTTATTATCTTTAGTGTAAATAACAGGCGATTGATGGGTTTGTCCTTGTGTATGTAACATTAGAAGCGACCTTTTTTTTATATATATCAATGCTACAAAGTTGGCATTTGCTTCAATACAAACGTCTCTTCAAGATGAGCAAAGTTTCCTTGTATGAATAAAAAACACTGGATTTAATACAGAGAATTCTTGTCTCGTTCCTATACTACATAATCAAACGTAGTATCTAATTTCTCCTGAACCAAAAAATTACAGATGCTTCTGATTTCTGCAGCCACAGGTATTTGCTTTCTACGAGTTAGAGCCAAGACGGTGCCATTTCAGCTACTGTTACCTTAGCAGATGAATTGTCTGAAATCTTGGCAAGTGAGCAATGTTGTAACTTAATAGACTCTGCATTGTCCACTGTCTTCACAACGTACCTGGAAACAGAAATCCATTTTGTTAATAAGAGCTTCAGCATCTATGGATGAAATGAGGCAGCGAGACTTAACCATCCATTTAAGCACTGTGTCATTATAACAGCCTTGCGCCCAACAAACCGTGGAGGCGTCCTTTTGTTTCCCTAAGCAATGGGAACTTTTTGTCTGTTAAACCATGGAAGTAGTATTTTCTAGAATGTAGGAAAAGTAACATTAGTATGGTTGAAGATCTCAGACCTCTATGATAATATGATCTCCAATGGAGAAAGGAAACTGTATGCCTCGGCTACTCTTAGGAGTTTCAGTTATGTTTGGGATACAGAAACTTCTCTTATGCTGCAAGATTCATAAGAAAGAAACTCTGCTTATTTGGTTTCTCACTGTTAATGTAAACTCACATGATTACTATGTATTGAAAAAACAAACCTGATCCGACCTTTCTTTCTTTCGCTTCAGAGTGTGAATATGATCTGATTCTTCTTCTTGGCGGAAAGCATGAACTACAATTCTGAGAGCTGAACAAGCCCATAAACTTGATCAGGAAGAAGAATAGAGTCCTTCGCTGAAACTAGTAATGTCGTAAAACTCACAGAGATTTGGTTTTTCTGATCCTTCTAAAGTAGGTTGGGAACATGTGAAACATGCTTTCTAACAACAAAAATTACCACAACTCAGATTACTAAGATTCACATGAGACAAAAGCAAGAAGATCTTAAACGGATTTGTTAAAGAGTCATATACCATTTTTTGAACTTGTATTAATCCCCCGGCACCAAAAGAATGTCCACAAGGCAGTATCGTAGCATCATTCATCAAGGCTCCGCTATCCAAACCAAAGTAACAAATAGAAAAATCATTTCTATGAATGTTAACAAGAACTAGCCTTCTAGACGATACACCACAATAATCAATCATCAAAGTACATTGACATTTGACTCAGATTCGACTTAGTTATCAAATTCCCTGGGCATTCACAAGCAGAACTAACACTTACGTGACAGGATCAGAGAGGATGGCCTTGAGAGACTCCCAAGAGCTGACACTAGAAGTAGTGACTCTCTCTTTCTCCACAGAAGCAAAATCTCGCTTTGGCTGAATGTTATGGCGGGAATTAGATACGTTACCATCTGGGTTAGTGATCATCACCTTAAACTCCATTTCATGGCGATCAATCGATGATTTCCCTTCCTCATCATCTTCTCTCACAACCATTTCCCAACCAACGGAACCTGAGTAAAACCAAATAATTACTAGTTAGCTTTAACAATCAAGGACTTTCGGTAGTCGTAAAGAAATAATGTAGAGTATTTATACCTGGATTTTTACTTTCTCTGTTGGTTTCTTCAGCTGCAGCTGCAGAATCATAGTTGTTACCGGAATCAATACCAGGCTGAATCAGAGCAGTTCGTCTTCGGATAGAAACGTCGTCCTCGTCATCATCTCCATCGGAATACATGGTTTCATCTTTCTCAAGTCTATTTCCGCAGAAACCTTGCTGGATTCCAGAAATTCTAAAACGGCGATCGCCGACGGTTTCGAGCTCCCGGATCTTACTACCGGAATCTCCAACACGGAAACGCAGAGATTCATCTTCTACGTGGAATAGGAACCGAGGATCGATACTGTCATTAACAGACATTTGCTTTTCCGCCGGAAAATTCACAAGGCGATCGATAGAGGAAGCTGAGATAAAAAAAAAAAGGTAAGACAGTAAAGAGCACACAGAGAGAGTTTCAAAACGACGTCGTCGTAAGTGGGACATGAGCAGCACGCGCGCCGTGATGGTTAATCATGACGAAACCGTATCATTTAACAACTTTTGGAGGGTCCGGTAACATTTTATGTGCCACTTGGACTCATCATAACTCATAAGGCCATCTGCAATGGCCCAACACCTTGGGTGTTCTTGGACTTTTTTAATTGGATAATATTGTGAACAATCAGAATTTCTTGGGCACTAATCGTTTCCGGTTTAGAACATACAGTACAATGCCATTAAAGATTCTCCATTTTGTTCTACATTAAATTTTTAGCAAAGGAGTTGATTGAAAATATTTGGAATAAATTTGGACAATAACCTATGTATTAATTAAATAAAATGTTTCTATGCTTTTATTAAGTAATATGTTTGTTTTTTTATTTATATTTTTTTTTCATAAAAATTTGGTATTGTATTTTCACTTTTATTTTAAGTTTGTAAATTTTGCAATTTAAATGTTATTTTTAAATGTTTTTATAATTGTAATATGTTTATTATTATATTATTAAATCTTCTGATCTTAAACATGTTCTCCCAATAACCAATTTATTAACAAAAGATCTAAACTCCTGATCTTATATTATTTTAACAATATTTTTATTCTAAGCACACTCAAAACAGTTCCCCCATTGCGGATGCCCTAAGCATACCATATACGATTTTTTATGATGTGAATTACATTTAACAACAACTAATATCATCAATAACCGGTTTACAATCAGAATTTCTTGGGCACTAATCGTTTCCGGTTTAGAACATACAGTACAATGCCATTAAAGATTCTCCATTTTGTTCTACATTAACGAGGGATCAGATAACTCGAAAACCATAACTAAACCGAGTAGGATCACAGTGTGGTAACCGGTTGGTTTGATAGGATGTCCTCATTTCACAGTTCACCAGTCTCCTGCTGCTTACTCTCAACTCTAAGGCCTCAAGGGTTTCAGTCCCAGTGACGCTCTCAGTCTATTTGCTTCTGCAATTTCAGGATCTGGATGATCAGTTCCATCTTCCCTCATCTTCTCCTTCTTTTCCTTCTTTTTCTTCGGTTCTTCCCGATCCCGCACATCATCAGTTTCATGTCTCTTACGATCCCTACTCCTGCTTCTACTTCTGCGCCTTGCCCTGTCTCTTCTGTCTCGTTCTCTATCTCTGCCTTGTTCCCTGTCCCTATCTCGCTCTCTATAGTGATCTCTGTCTCTCTCCCTATCCCGGTCTCGTCCACGCCCACGTTCTCTTTCATAGTCTCTGTCATGATCTCGATCCATATCATAGTCTCTGTCATAATCACGATCCCTGCCAATCACAAAACCATGGTCAAATTATAATTCATAAAACAATGAACTCAAGTCTCAACATCAATCATGAAGACAATCTGTAACAAAAAGAAAACATTGATTAAGCTAAAAACTAGATAGGAACAACAGAAAATGCTTTTATGATTTACAGATCTTTTTCAAAGTAACACAATGACCAACTGCCATATATCAGGGTAAGCGGCAGTAAGAATGTCTGATCCATAATACTTCTCCCTGTACACTGTCAGTACAGAGAAACCTGGGAGGATCTCCACAATTTTAATTTCGGAAGCTGTATGCAACCGCTGATGGCTTGAGATGCCACAGAGGAAACAGACATTTAAAAGAAAGAATACCAGACATGATGCACGAGCATTAGCTAGGTCAAACAGCTTCCACAATCATGAGCAACAAACAAACTCACAAGGAAGAATTCTTGAAGATATTAACTAGTATAGAAAAGTATCTAGTAAAGGGCACGGATTCAGATACCTGTGCCTATGACTGTCGCGTCTCCTGTCTCTGTCTCTTTCTCTTTCTCTTTCAGGACTCTTACGTTGATGATTCTGTAAAAGAGGAAGAAGATGGTATCAACCTAAAGCTGCTAAATAGAAACAGAAAACAGAACACATACAAACTATTGCAGAATGAAAGCACTGACCTTCTCATCTTCAGATCCATCTGCAATCCCTTCATTCTCCTCCTTTTCTTCTTCTTCTTCAAAGTCGTCTTCCAAAACGCTTTTCCTTGGCTCTAAAAGACCATTCTGTTCAAGCGTCCACCTATCATCACAGAGAAAAATTAACAATCTTAAAATACTGCAGAAACAAAAAATCTAAAGTTCAGCTATAGGCTATAACCAAATGCAAAAGAACAAACCTCTTCTTCAAGCGTGGCATTGCAATATCACAAGAATAATCCTTGGTTAAAAGTTCCTCAATGACTTCGTCCACATGTGTCAACGAAAACCCTATTCCAAACCAAAGAAATAAATTTAGTTAGGGAACAAATCAATCAAAAGTTAAACACACAACGGATCCATTGAAAGAAAATGAAACTTACTCCCATCAGCTAACTTCTGTCTCACTTTCCGGTAGTCATTGTAGAGAGGTTCGAGGTAGCGATAGACATCAACATCAGTCCCAGTGAGACGGAGATAGAAAGCACCGAGAATACGAACATATCTACAGAAACCAAAAGAGCACACAATTCAATAATCAAACAACCACAGCATGCGCAACAAGTATCCAAAGCTAGAGAGACAATCAGATAAAACTTCAAAGAATCCTATAGCTGCAATTAACCCTACATGAACAACTAAGACAAAGCTAATCGTAGTATCTAATCAAGATTAGAAATAAGCTAGATGAAAAAACTCAGGTTAGATTCCATACTTGTAATCATCGTTTTTTATGAACTCCACGACAATTTCCTTCTCAGGCTGGATTTGTAGCATCTTCAATATGAGGCAAAGGAATGGAGTAGGCTTGCGGCTACCACCAAAGGTACCACCAAGATGGTCGAGCTCCATAGCTTTGTCAACCAACGTCTCCGCCGTAAGACCAAAGCATTGCTCCTTCCAAAAGGTGTGCTGGTAAATCTTCGTTCTCACAATCTTCTCTACCAGATTCTGCGGATTCGTACCTCTGATATTTTTGGCCAACGGATCTGTTCTGTTTGCCATTATCGCCGGAAGTTAATCAGACACCGCCTCGAAGACCTAGTCGTCGGAATAACAAGCGTCGAGCGACGCCGGAATCGTTGAAACCGCTTCCACGAATTTGCCGTCGTAGAGACGAAGACACTCTAGGGCTTTGAAGATTTTGAGATGTATCTTAACTCTGAGCAGTTAATTTGTTTTTTATTTATCTTTTGTTTTTGCATTTGATGGTAAAGCCCATAATAAGAAAATATTAATGGGCTGATAATATTTTTCGGCCCATTAGAGATGATAACGCCGTTAGTTGTAAGTCCGTTAAGACCGTTATATCAAGCATAAACCCTATCGAAGGAATTGCAGTGTGTTTCCCTTTTAGCGAAGAGCCCCAAAGAGAAGAACAAAATTTCGAAAATAGAGAAAGAGAAGAAGTTGACGATGGATTCAAAGACGAAGCAGATGATTCTATCAGCTCTCTGCAAACACTTCTCCTTGGATCCTGTAAGTGAAGATGTCAATCTCAAAAGCGTCACCTTTTTTTTCTTCTGGATTTTTTTTTTTTGCTTGGTAGCTGAGTGTATGTATGATCATGTTTTGGATTAGTTAGTCGGGAAAATTCGAAATTTTGCTAATTGGGTGCTGATTTAATTATAAAGATCATGTTCTATATTATGTTAATCAGTGTACACTTGTGTATCAAGCTGGTTATGAAAAAGGAAGAAACTTTAGAAATTAGGCGTTTATAATCTTCTTGAATTGGGTTTGCATGGCATTTCATTGTACACTGTGTTGATCAATTTTATTTCTCATCCAGAATTGACACCAATCCCTTATGTTTTTCTTCTAGATAGACAGGATGATTTATGGTTTTGTTTCTGAAATTGATTTTGATTCATTTGCTTAGGAACCTTTTCTGGGCGGAGCAGGTGATAGTGATGTCAGGACGCTTTATTCCAATGTTTTGAAGGCATCTGGAAAGGAAGTGTCTGCACAAAACGATGAGGTAAGTTGTTTCTTCTTGAACTTGGTTAGTATAGACATGAACTTCAAACTCTAAATGGAAGTTTATTGAGTTCCCTTCTCGTTGCTACCATATTTGAGATAGTTGAATTAGTATGTTTGAGTTCTTTGTGGTATTGAATGATGAGTATTCGTTGACTTTCGTTTGAATAATGCGTCATTGTTTCACATTCTAAAAAGGAATTACCTATTTCAGGTTTTGAAGTGGCTGGATTTTGCAGAAGGTTTCTCTGCAAATTCAAAGGATTGCTATGCAGCTCTTGAAAAGTTGAATTTAGAGTTAGCTACCAAGTCAGTGCTCTTGGGAAACGGATTGACGCCATCGGCAGCTGATGTTGCTGTGTTCTCAGCTTTGCATTCTTCAGTGGTACCTCTTCTCTTAATTCCATAGTATTCTTATTTTTATTTTTATGTTTCTTGTTAAAGATGCTAAAATGAAAATTTCATAAACTGTTGACTAAAGGCGGACCTCAAAGACTAACTGTTATCTGTTTGACTTGCTGTTCCCAGCTTGGCCTCTCAGATTCAAACAAGGAGAAAGTACCACATGTCATAAGATGGGTGAATTACATCCAGGTATGTTCGACATCATAAAATTTCATTACTTGATTGCGCCGAGGTAGTCTGTAAATCTAAGGAGGACTACTTTATGTGTAGGCTTAGTGACTATTGCAATATTTGCACTCTCTGAACATCAACCTTTCTCATTTTCTTTACTTGTGATCTTTGGCTGTACTAATTAAATGCTGCTTATTACTTTTACAGAATAAAGAAGAGTTGTCAACATTATTTGCACCAATACCTGTGAAGCTACCAGAATTTGACTTCGAGGTGAATTATCTCTTCATACCCATCTTCTTAGTTTGAAAACAATAATAGCATACTACATTTTTTATATGTACTACATGCGATGAGCAAATGGTTTTCTGATTTTTTCCTTAACTCTAAACGTAGGTATCAAAACCTGCCATTAAGGTGGAAGCAAATTCTAATACAAAAAAAGCTGCAGAAGGTGTAAAGCCTGTTGACAAGTCAGATGCGCAGCCGCAGCCGATCACAAAGAAAACTGAGCCTGAGGTACTTATTTTAATGTTTAAGTTGGATTTATTTGACTGTGAGTCTCTTTAAATTGTAGAATCCAATGTTTCCTCTTTCCTTTTTCGTGTAGGAACCAAAGAAAAATGCAACAAAAGAGAAGGATGCCAAAAAGGAAAAGAAGAAACCTGCTGAATCAGAACCAGCTAAGAAAGAGGCAGAGCTTAGTGTCAGTTTGCTTAATATTCAGGTTGGTCTAATTCGCAAAGCATGGAAGCACCCATCTGCGGATAGGTTTGTGGTCAAAACATTTCAAACTTATGGCTCTGTTAAAGATTCCACTGAACATCTGCTAATATGTATAAAAAAAAATTTGTTGTATGTATTGACAATGCAGTTTGCTGGTGGAAGAAATAGATGTCGGGGAAGATAAAGTGAGACAAGTAGTTAGTGGTTTAGCGAAGTTCTGCAATCCCGATGATCTAACGGTATAGTGATGTCTTAATTTAAAAATAAATTAAAGAAATTTTGTTTGTAGGCGTAAAAATTGGGTTTATCAATCTATAGATTTGGTTTAAAGATACTTACCTATGGTTTCTTGATCTCTGCATTATGATGATGAAGAACCGCCTTGTTGCGCTCATCACAAATGTCAAACCTGGAAAGCTAAGAGATGTAATGTCACAAGGACTGGTAATAATTTCTTCTATCTGCCTAAATCCAGCTCATCAACTATCAAAATATTACACACTCTCACATTTGTTCTTTTTCTGTGTTCTTGATTTCTTTGCCACAGGTTCTTTGTGCTTCAAGTGAAGATCACTCGGTGGTAGAACCGCTGCTACCACCTGCTGGGGCTAAACCAGGAGAGCGTGTTTCATTTTCAGGGTACATAGTTTTAACGATATAACATTGAACCTCTTTGATTGCTTTCTTTACATGTTTCCCCTTCAGCCATTAGACTCATATATGCTCTTTCCTTTTTATTGTTTTTCTTGTTTATCGCCAACTCAATCACCTTTTTTCAAAATGTTTATATAGGATTGAAGGAAAGCCAGAAGACGTACTGAACCCAAAAAAGAAGCAACTAGAGAAGATAACACCGGTATGTGTTTTATGCCCTTCATTAGGTTCCAAACTTAAACAACCGAATATGCGAGTACTGTGTTTGCATTATTATACATAAACATTCAATCTCACGGGGACTTTGGTTAATCACACGCATTTGCAGGGTCTCTACACTGATGAGAATGGCGTAGCCACATACAAAGGCATACCATTCATGACCTCGGCTGGACCTTGCACTTCCAGTATCCCCAAGGCTACCATCAAGTAGTAAACTCAGTTGATACTTCTCCTCTTCGCTAGCGTTTTGCTTTGTTATTCGCAAACTCAGTTGGAAAAAGAAAAAGATGTTTATTTTTGTCACATTTTGAATTAATTTATAACTTTGTTCGTATAAGCTTTTTGACAAACAACGTTGTTTCAATCTCCGTTTTGATAGCTCTCTGCTAAACTAGATTTTGGTTTAACTTAGTTCCAATTTCTTTGTCCTTTGGCTCAAGTAGTGCAAGTCCACCATTGCATGGTTTGCAACGTATTACCTACAAATATCCACTTAGCTACTTGTGGGGTTTCAATCAGATAAACCAAACCAGTCACTCTGGATTGTGATTCTTAGATGATCTTACAAGGAAGGAGGATAAAGAATCTTAGACATGGCCCATGAGGATCTCTATAAGAGAGATTGGTGGTCCATTTGTGACAAAAATCATTATTAATTTTTCCTGTTTCCATTTATTCCAAGGATTTGAACCCAAAAAAAAAATTGGGAAATAAAATAATTAAAAAGGTGTATTATATCTAAAGATTTATCTTATCAGCTTACAAGATCCTGAGCAGATCCGTACGACTGTCACTGGACACATATGTTTCTTTATTCAGTTTCTCAAAGAATCAGTCCTCCATAGCAAAACACACAACTTCTTTCTTATATTAAACACACACAAAATCTTTATACTTGTCTCCAAAAAAATTATGATCTTTTTTGAGGTTCTTTAGCTTTTATTATACGATTCCAAATCATATCAAATCAGTTCTTGGTATATTATAGGAGATTGTTACCGAATAAATCTGTTTTCATATCATATTTTCAGTTCTATGAATCTACAATTTTGTATAGCACTATCAATTTTTAATTAAATAAAAGTGGTCCAAAAGAAAATTAAAAAATAAACCCCACACGATTCGAAGAACATGTCCTAACAAGTAACTCAATACAAAAAGACAAGTATAAGGAACTTTAAATCTATAACGACTGGTACTGAAACTAAAACCCCTAAAAATAAGATATCACGAAATATCCGTGATATTCTTTGATGCAATCTTTTCCCCATTGCTCTCTGTTTTTAATTTCTTTTTAAAGTATTCTGCGGTATTATAGTATATAGTTGGTAAATAATAATGGAAAATTCTTCACCCACCAGAAAAATCAAAGAAACCATCATAAATACCATCACCATATTCACATGATTCATACATACCCGAGTCTGTCACTTTCTTCTTCATTGTATGTGTTTTGTCTTTTTGAATTATTTTTTTATTGAAGAATGGAGAATTAAAAGCAATGTCTGCAAGGTCTTTGTATCAATGCTAGAGACAGTCTCGCTTCTTCTTTGCTTATTGTCAAGTTGTTTTCTTTCTCAGTTACTTGACATTTAAGGAACAAATTAAGGAGATCATGAACAGTTCAGGAGGTTCTTGTTCGTCTTTAATGGATGTGGTGACTTATGATCCTCATCATCATGGTCATGATGAAGAGCTTCATGTTTTAGCTGTTGATGATAATCTAATTGACCGTAAACTCGTAGAGAGGTTGCTCAAGATCTCTTCTTGCAAAGGTTCCATCATTTTACCTTCCATTTTTTTTTTATAATCAATCATTACTTTTTGCATTCTTTGTCTCTAAAATGTGAATTTTTGCAGTCACAACAGCAGAGAATGCGATAAGAGCATTGGAGTATTTGGGTTTGGGAGACCAAAATCAGCATATTGATGCATTGACCTGTAACGTAAGCCAAAAAACATATATATATCTTCAAGATCTATGGATTTTTTTCCTTAGGACACATTTGATATTAGGTCTATATATGTGTGGATTTTCTAGGTTATGAAGGTGAACCTAATCATCACAGATTACTGTATGCCGGGAATGACAGGTTTTGAGCTACTTAAGAAAGTGAAGGTATATATATATAACAGCTTCTTGGAATCAAGATCCAGAGATTTAATTAGTTTAGTTCAACCTTAAACAAAACTCTGTGTGTGTTTCTTTAGCAGGAGTCATCAAATCTGAGAGAGCTTCCTGTTGTGATAATGTCTTCAGAGAATATTCCTACTCGCATCAACAAGTAAGAACAAATTGAGATCTGATTAAGACCTTTTTTCTGTGTTTCTTACTGTGGAAGTAATTAGTTAAGATCATCAATCTTAATGTTTTGTTTTGGCCTTTTGAAATGCAGATGTTTAGCGAGTGGAGCTCAAATGTTTATGCAGAAGCCTTTGAAACTGTCTGATGTTGAGAAACTTAAGTGTCATCTCATGAACTGCAGAAGCTAACCATGAGAGATTTAATGTTAGTCCTAACCATGAAACATTTCATTGTCTTGATTCCTTATTTGATTATTTTACATGTTTTCTCTGAAATCAAGAAATGTTTTCAAATTCCCTATGGTAATTTTATACACAAATACACATAATGGAATCATAGAAAATGGTTGTGGTGATGAAGATGATGACGATGTCTTCTCTCTTCCAATCCTAAACATCGAATAAATGGATAACATGAGATGAAGAAACATCTCTTTAATCCTCTAACCATTGAAAATGGAGGCCACACGCAACAACAACAACATTGATGATTCTCTTCTATCGTTGTTTCTTTCTCTTTTCTTCTTCCTCTTCTCTTATCTCTTTTGCGGCCATTGTTGCACAAGATTGACATCGTTTCTGCGTGAAAGGAAGAATAAGAATCTTGTGCAGCAAGAAAAGTCTAGAATTTCAATTTGAAAACAGGAACAAAAAGCATAGGATCCTAATTGATTCACGATGAGACGATTCATATAAGAACAATCTTGTTTTTCTTCTCTTACCTCGGAAAATTCACCGGAATCTTATGAATGGCCTTGAAAATCTTTGACAAGGAAGAAGATTAATGGTGAGAGAAGATGATGAATCTCTTTCTTCTCCGAGAAAGAGAGAGATAGGAGTCGAAAGTCGAAACGCAGAGGAGAAATTGTCTCCTCCGGAGACTTGTACGTCTCCATGGAAGCTTTCAACATCATACACGTGTCATTTCATTTGTCTCAGTTCTCATGACTTTAGATCGGACCAAACCTACCAAGCTTTTTTTTAATGGTTTTTTGTTTTGTTTATTTTTTTTTGGTAAGTGACCGGGAAACAAAAGTCTCCCGTTATTTATTGAAACTAAAAAAGAGTAAAAGACTAGACCACATGAACCCGTCTTGGGCGGACCGACCCAAAATTATCGTCACTCCATAAGGAGTTTATGCCTTTAAGAAAAAAAAAAAAAAAAGGAGTTTATGCCTAATTGATATTATCGTCACATCATGCACATTTGTTTATTGACTTATAAGACGTTTGTTTTGTTTATTGTGCAGGATGTTATTATTTTTCTTTCTTTTTCTGATTTGTGTATGTATGTACCGCACGATTTCTAGTAGTACATGATTTGTTTTTAGACTGAAACAAACCATGCGATTATTATTCTACGTAGATACGTTATCTAATTTCAAATCAAATTTTCTGTCATTCTGTCCAAAAGAGATGGGAATTAGCGGAGCTGATTGTGCTTGATACGTATCCAATTTGGATAATGAATCTTAGAATTCAATGTTCACCAAAATCTGACCTAACTTAAACTTGTTTTGAAATTTTGGATTTGAGTCTAATGGTAGTGTGAGGATTTTTTAATTTTAAATAAAATAAACCGATCTAATTTGAACCAAACAATTCTTATCTACAAACCGAACAACCCATAATTTGAACCTAATTTTTAAGTATATCTATCTATAAATAGTGAATTTGCACGAAAAATTAAATCAAATCAAATATTTATGTGAGTTGAATTTGAATGGTGACAAATGACGACACGATATTTTAATGGTGACACAACGACGACACTAACACAAATCACTAAACTATTAAATAAAACTAATTTTTCTTGAGAATTAAAACATATATCAGACTAAAATTGAAATAAAACGCGAAATCAAAACATATAAATTCATACATAAATGATTGGTTCTACTCTACTAGATTCAAACCGAAAACCCAAGAATCCAAAAACACCAAGAAAACACAGCTCCCTGTCTAGTAGTTGTTTATCAACAACCATTAAAACGACCGAGGGGAGAGCGTTTTAAGCTACGGCCCAAGTGAGATAAAAGCCCATCTTAATATTGCTACGGGCCAAGAATAACTGCAAAAGACGAAAAAGATTCTCTTCACTCTCTCTCTCTCGCTCGCTCGCTCGCTCTCAATCTTTCCGATTTGGTTGGGTCTTCTCCAAGTCTCTGCGAAAATGGCGGCTTCGGTGCAACCTGCATGCTTAGACCTCCATTTCTCCGGCAAGCATCCACCGCTTCTTAAACACAACGCTATTTTCGTCCGCTGCGTTTCTTCTCCAAATGTAATTCCCGAAGCTGACTCCATCTCCGGTCCGCCTGATATCATCAATACGAGCCGTGACCAGCGCAAAGTGGTTCGTATCGCTTGGGAGAAGTTGGTTCGATGGTCCCGTTCTTGGCGCGCTAAAGCTAAAACCGATGTTCTTGAGCGCACTCGCAAGGTTTTATTATCTTCGCTTTCTTTCTTAATTTCGTTTGCGTTTTGGAGAATTTGAAAGAATCTGAGGGGTTTTTAGGTTGTTGTTCTTGGTGGAGGTTCGTTTGGTACTGCAATGGCTGCTCATGCAGCTAGAAGGAAAGAGGGATTAGAGGTTACTATGCTTGTTCGTGACTCTTTTGTTTGCCAATCTATCAACGAGAACCACCATAATTGGTACTTTTAGCGTTTGATTTTATCCAAACACAATTCATAATTCTTGAGGATTTCATAGTGATAATGTTGATTTTGTTTACCAGTAAGTATTTTCCTGAGCACAAGTTACCTGAGAATGTGATTGCTACAACTGATGCGAAAGCTGCATTGCTTGATGCTGATTATTGCCTCCATGCCGTACCTGTGCAGGTTTAACCAATTTGTGTATTTGGTTTTTTTTTAATTTGTTTCTATGTTCTGCTGATTAATGTGGGGTTGTTGTTGCAGTTCAGCTCATTGTTTCTAGAGGGAATTGCCGGTTATGTCGATCCAGGATTGCCTTTTATATCTCTTAGCAAAGGTCTGGAGCTTAATACTCTTAGGATGATGTCTCAGATCATTCCCACTGCGCTTAAGAATCCCCGGCAACCTTTTGTTGCTCTTTCTGGCCCGTCATTTGCTCTGGAGCTAATGAACAATTTACCAACTGGTTTGACTCTCGTTCTTCTTTGTTTAATTCGACTAGCATTATATAGTTTTCTATTGCTGAATGCTGTAAACTGTTTCCTTTTGGTATATTATTTTGCTTGCAGCAATGGTGGTTGCCTCGAAAGATAAGAAATTGGCCAATGCTGTTCAGCAGCTTCTGGCTTCTAGTTACTTGAGAATAAATACTTCCAGGTACAACATTTCAAAACTAGACTCCATTGGTTTAAATGATTTGTGGATGCATTTTACAGCTGGACTGTGATTATATCCATTTTCCTTGCTGCTTGAGAGTTTATTCATGTCTTGGTATGTGCTATGTTAGTGACTGAGCTCTAATGGTTGACTTCTTAATTCCTCGAGGGAGTTTTGTGCACTCAGCTTGTAACCTCTGATCATTTCAGTGATGTTACAGGCGTGGAAATTGCCGGTGCCCTGAAGAATGTTCTAGCAATAGCTGCAGGAATTGTTGATGGAATGAATCTCGGTAACAACTCTATGGCAGCACTTGTATCACAAGGTTGTTCAGAGATAAGATGGCTAGCCACAAAGGTAGTAAGTTTAATGTGTGTCTATAATGGCTTCATAGAAAGTGGTTTTTATCCAAGAAACTCACCACTATGATTAGTAAATCCTGTGTTTATTGCATTTTCTGCGTTTTTCTGTCTTGTATGTGTGAAGATGGGTGCAAAGCCAACGACCATAACTGGTTTATCAGGAACTGGGGACATAATGCTTACGTGTTTTGTAAATCTCTCAAGAAACCGAACAGTTGGAGTCAGGTTAGGGTCAGGGGAGACATTAGATGACATACTAACCTCCATGAATCAGGTTTGTATCTCGCTGGTGTTGCTTGTCTTATGGTAGAACCAAAAAGATTGGTTGAATCTGAAAACCCATGAATCAAATGACAATTGCTTCGCAGGTTGCAGAAGGTGTAGCAACCGCTGGGGCAGTGATAGCATTAGCACAAAAATACAATGTGAAACTTCCGGTTTTGACAGCCGTAGCTAAGATAATAGATAATGAACTGACCCCGACTAAGGCTGTTCTTGAGCTCATGAACCTTCCTCAGGTTGATCCTAGGTTTCACAGATTCCCATTTCGACTCGGCTACTCTTCTCGTTTTTGATTTGACTCTGTTTTTGCAGATTGAAGAAGTATGAGATGGAACAATCGTTTTGAGGACCAAATATTAAAAGAGATAGCTTTAAGGCGGCGAGAGCTTTGCATTCGTTTAGAGATAACTAATGATAGAGATGATTCGAAGTGAGTTTTGTAATCGATTTTAGGCCTGATTCTCATGAATGTGAATTGTTCATAAACATTTTACAAAATCTCTGTAAAGTTTTCTCATCATCTATAAAAATGATGTTTCGGTATATATCTTTTTAAGTCTGGAGTGTAAAATTTTGAGTGGGGTTCGTTTGATCTTCGGACTTACGGAGCCATCTGGGTTCAAAGCCATATGCTCAATTCGGGTACATCAAACCGATTTAATCCAAACTTAACCGTAAAAAAGCCGATTTCGATGACGGATCATAAAACAGTGAGCATGTGCTTTGAAGTTGAGAGGCCCACAATTTTGAAAGGCCCACAATTTTGAAAGGCCCAAAGATAAACGGTGTCGTATAGGAGGCGAAACCCTTGCAATTGCAGTGTCGTCGTTGATTTGTCTGTCGAAGACGGAGGGAAAGAAAACAGAGAACTTGTTTCTTTCGTCGAAGAAGAAGATGATGAAGAGAACCCAACAATCTGCAAGAGAAACAAAGCAAGAAGCTAAAGATGCAAGCAAAGCGAAGAGCGGTTTATTCGCTTCTTGTTCCTTCTCTTCACTTGGTTTAGATCCCAAGCTCTCTGACCAGCTCCAAGGTTCTCTTTTTGCCTCTGCCGATATTGACATCCTCTGTTTATGTTTAGTGAGCTTAGTTTTTAAGTGAGAATGTTGTTTTCCGTGTCAATTTATACAGAAAGGATGGGTTTTGAAGCTCCTACGCTTGTACAAGCTCAAGCAATTCCTGTTATTCTCTCTGGTCGAGATGTGTATCCTTTTTCTACAAAACTCTAATCTTCTTTTTGTGTGAATTATGATTACATTTGTAGTTTGGTTTGTTTTCGTTTACTTGGGATATATAAATGTATAGACTTGTTAATGCTGCAACCGGTACTGGAAAGACTATAGCGTATTTGGCACCACTCATCCATCACTTGCAGGGTTATTCTCCTAAGGTTGATCGTTCTCATGGAACTTTTGGTATGTGCCTATTGTCTAGCTAGTAGCTACAATTTGGAATTTCTTTGTAGGTAAAAGTGATGATTTTGATTCTTGGATTTTGTTTGTGGCAGCTTTGGTGATTGTGCCTACACGGGAACTATGCCTTCAGGTGTATGAAACCTTGGAGAAGTTACTGCATCGGTTTCATTGGATTGTCCCTGGCTATGTAATGGGAGGAGAGAAAAAGGCTAAAGAAAAGGCTAGATTAAGGAAAGGTACCATATGTTTTCCCTTTTGCATAGTCAGTTCCTTATTTGAGAAGCGCGATGGTCACTTTTGAATCCAGACTAATCGTTTTATTTCAGGGATATCCATTCTAATTGCAACCCCGGGACGCCTTCTTGACCATTTGAAGAACACAGCTTCATTCGTGCACAAAAATCTGCGTTGGGTCATCTTTGATGAAGCTGATAGGTATAAATGCTGTTCCCTGAAAGTTAATATCTTCCTTGATCCTGTGTTTCCTTTATTTAATTCTTCCTTTGAATTATGGCAGCATTCTCGAATTAGGTTATGGGAAGGAGATAGAACAGATAATTAAGCTTCTAGGTTCAGGGCAATACGAAGAAGGTGAAACGGATGATATTGTTCCAAAGGGCATTCAGAAGCAGAACTTATTATTGTCAGCAACATTGAATGAAAAAGTTAACGATCTTGCAAAACTTAGTTTGGACGATCCGGTAATGATTGGTCTTGACAACAGCAAATTGCAACAAAATCTATCAATAGAGTCTCCTGCCTCTCCTGACTCTGATGCGGATGATATGGTAATTCATGTTAACAAATCCGTAAACCCTTCATCTGAGGACTATGGAATACCATCACAGCTAGTGCAGAAATATGTTAGAGGTACATTTATCTTCACTCAAATCTCTTTATATTGTTCTGTGCTTCTAGTTTGGTACAAATAGCTATTATGTGCAGTGCCATGTGGTGCACGGCTTGTGGCACTTCTTTCTGTTCTCAAGAACCTTTTTGAAAGAGAAGCTTCTCAAAAGGTAAATCTCAAGCCAGACATATCCCAAGTTCCTGTCATATCTGTTTGTTATTAAAGTCTCGGTTGATTGAGGTTTTGTGCGGCTGTTTTCTTACAGGTGGTCGTATTCTTTTCGACACGTGATGCTGTAGACTTTCATTACTCACTTCTGACTGAATTCCAGTGGCCACCGAATTCTGAGACAGAAGAGGAGGCGACCAAACAGTTGTTTCTTAAGTGCAAAACGTTTCGGTTACATGGAAGTATGGAGCAGGAGGATAGAAGATCTGCGTTTGGGACTTTCAAAACAGAGAAACAGGCCCTTCTCTTGAGTACAGATGTTGCTGCTAGAGGCTTGGATTTCCCAAAAGTAAGATGTATTATACAATATGACTGTCCTGGGGAAGCTACCGAGTATGTGCATAGGTAAATTCTGGAATGCCAAAAACCTCTTGACCTTAAATACTTAATACCTTGAATTTACTGAGCGTATGTGTTTGTGATTCATGGTTGCAGAGTGGGTAGAACAGCTCGTATTGGTGAAAAGGGAGAAGCCTTGTTATTTCTACAACCGATTGAAATAGACTATCTTAAGGAGCTTAAGAAACATGGCGCATCACTTACAGAGTACCCTCTTCTAAAAGTACTTGATAAATTTCCCATACCCGGCAATATGCCCCGAATCAAAAAGGTCATATCCCTAGAATCGCATCCATGGGTCATATCTCTGCAAAGAGCTCTTGAATCCTTTAATTACGCTGAGGTAAGATTCTCTTCATTGTGTTCCCTCTCCGCTGTGATTGATTTATACTCTGATAGTCTAAATGTCTCATTGTTTGTATCTGTTTTATTCACAGCCAAAGATGAAGAGCCTGGCGAAAAATGCATTTGTCTCTTGGGTTAGGGGATATGCAGCTCACAAGGGAGAGCTCAAGAGCATTTTCGTGGTGAAGAAGCTTCACTTAGGTCATGTCGCCAAGAGTTTTGCTCTGCGAGAGCAACCGTCTTTAGTTGGGAAATCACATCATAAGGAAACAATGAAGAGAAAGAGAGACGAACGTCAGAAAGGGCAACAAGGTAAGAAGAGAAAGAAGATGAGTGGCAGTGGCAATAGAAGTACACAAAAAACTTGATCAAATCGGTTTCGCCACCATAAACCATGGCATAAGTTTTGTAGTGAATGAGCTCTGCTTTGTTCATTGAAAATTTTGAAATATCTAAAAGAAGTTTGGAACTTAATCATGTTTGTTAACAATATTACTTGTATTAGCCAGAAAGCTAAAGATTCACATCAAATGCTTACCAGAGGTTTCGCGGAAGTCAAAATTGATATCTTTTTTGGTGAACTACGACTTTCACTTTCTTTAGGAAATTTCTAACATTTTTTCAATATTGTGGATAACAAAAACACTGTTTTCATTAAATGTTTTTCTATGAAAATTGGTAGAAAGTAGAAACTGTGAAAATCTAGATTTGCTATTTTTTTTTTGGAAATTTTTTTGTGTAAAATCTTGCACATTATTGAAGAATCTACAAACAATCAAGGCTTTAATATTTTTGGCCAAATAAGGAGATGTTAATGAGAAAGAGTACGACTCACGTTTTCTTTTTTTCTTTTTTTTTGTAAATTAATTAAAAAGCTGCTTCATACTAAACCCTAAGAAAATGATTGTCATCAGTTGGTAAATGAAGATAGCGAACGAAGGCCGAGACGGAGACGGTGCCACTGCCACCGCCGATGAAAGAAGCTCTAGCCATGGCTGTTGCAAAATCAAAGAGCCAGGAGATTCAAGCGAGGGTTTAGACTCAATCAGCTCAATGCCTGATGTGATCCTCCAAGTTATCCTCTCCTTAATTCCGACCAGATTCGCCATCAGGACTTCCGTCTTGTCCAGACGATGGAGGCATGTATGGTCCTATATACCTTCTCTCTACTTCCATAAGGACAGACCGGATGCTAATTCGATAAACGAAACCCTAGCTCGCTACAAGGCTCCGAAGATGATGAGTTTCCGTATCTGTACCAGTGAGCTCGATAATCTTCCTAACATGGACAGTTGGATCAAGTTCGCTTTGTCCAGAAACGTGGAGAATCTGTCGCTGTATTTGGAGCGGAGGAGTGACTATAATATCCCTGAATTCCTCTACGTCAATTCCTCTGTCAAGAATCTCTGCATTGAGTCAATATTCTATTCTAATATAATTCCCAAATGCTCTGTGTCGTGGACATCCCTGAAGAATATGTCCTTGTGGTGTTGCAAGCTCTCTGATGAATCCATTGCTAAGATCCTATTTGGTTGTCCGATTCTCGAAAGCTTAACATTGTGTTTCTGCAAGGAACTGAAGGTTCTTGATCTCAGCAAATCACCGCGTCTGAAAACATTAGTAATTTATAACGACAGTGTGAATCCGGGGCCAAGGAAGATCGTGGCACCACATATCCATCGTCTCAGATTGAAAAACACTCAGTTACCATGTGATTTATTAGTTGATGTCTCATCTTTAACCGAAGCTAAACTAGACATTAGCTATAACTCCTACCGTGAAAAACTGAACGCTGATTTACTTCACATCATGGTGCTAGAGAGGCTAGACAAGTGTCAGAATGTAGAGAAGCTTACTTTGGGGGAAAGCTTTCTCGAGGTATGTTTTCGGGTGTTCAAGTGTTAGTGATATATATACGGATGGTCATTATTGCATATGCATGCAACTTACTTTACCACAGTTGATCTTTTCTTCTTAGAGATATGTATTTTGGTATTCACTAGCTACTACTATTTGTTTGTGCTTTTTGTTAGATTTTATCTCTTGCCGAGCTCCGTGGTGTTCCTTTTCCAAACTTCAAGGTTAGAGCTTTAACGCTTGAGACACCGATCTCTCACTATGTAATTCCTGGTATAGTAAGGGTGCTACAAAACTCTCCTGAATTAAAGAAGCTAACCCTAAAATACAAAAGGGATGATGGCTTCATACCGGTATATTTATTTGCCGTAAACCTCTTTTATTTTCATTCACCATTCTAACTATTGCCAATCTTGAATAATCCAAGAACCACATGTCCTTTCACTTGAGTTTGTAGAATATTTGAGATAGTGACACTCTTCATTATTTTCTGCTGTACAGGGCATCTATATTGACGAAAACCTGCGTTCTCATGGCTTGGATACGGATAAATGCTGGACCTCGGAAGCGAGAGTCTTCAAAGACATTTGCCCCTTGAGAGCATACTCTTTGTTTCTACAAGTTGTGCTTAAAACCACAGAGACATTAGAGAAGATGGTCGTAATGTTAGAACCTTATTTTATAGCAAAAGGTGTTATGAAAGAGTTGCTTGAGATGATTCCATTGCTTACTCGCAACATCAATGTCTCCATTGTGAAAACCAGATGCCGTTTCAAAATGTAAACTTTTTCTTTGATTTGTTAGAAACTTGATCAAATCTGAGGGATCTCGCATTTTTGTTACTCAAAAAGTTCGAAACTTTAACACTTGTTTTGTTATAGAATATTACTTGTATAATAAACCAGACAGGTAAAGAGATTCACAACAAATGCTTACCAGCAAAAATCTAAGCCAAGTCTTGAAATCAAAATCGTTTTTTGCGGTGACGATGCAGATATGCGTTTCAAGCTTCACGACGTTCACATTCGTCGGCGACTTTCTCGTTTAGCTGATTCTTACATTTCTCCGGCATCGGTTAATTCAGGAATCAGAGCACTAATTCAGAAAGGAGAGTATTTACAAGCTCTGCATTTATACACTAAGCATGATGGTTCTTCTCCTTTGTGGACTTCCGTTTTCACATTTCCTTCTCTTCTTAAAGCTTGCTCTTCTCTTACGAATCTCAGCTCTGGCAAAACCATTCATGGTTCGATCATCGTGTTGGGTTGGCGATATGATCCTTTCATCGCAACCTCGCTTGTCAATATGTATGTAAAATGTGGTTTTTTAGATTATGCCGTCCAAGTGTTCGACGGTTGGTCTCAGAGTGGAGTTTCTGCTCGGGATGTCACAGTTTGTAACTCTATGATTGATGGGTACTTCAAATTTCGACGATTTAAGGAAGGGGTTGGTTGTTTTCGTCGGATGCTTGTGTTGGGTGTTAGACCTGATGCTTTCTCGTTATCCATTGTTGTAAGTGTTTTGTGTAAAGAAGGAAACTTTAGGCGGGAAGATGGGAAACAGATTCATGGGTATATGTTGAGGAATTCGTTAGATGGTGATTCGTTCTTAAAAACTGCTTTGATTGATATGTATTTCAAGTTTGGGTTATCGACAGATGCGTGGAGAGTTTTTGTGGAGATTGAGGATAAATCGAATGTTGTACTATGGAATGTGATGATTGTTGGGTTTGGTGGTAGTGAGATCTGTGAATCTAGCTTGGAGTTGTATATGCTTGCAAAGAGTAACAGTGTCAAGCTTGTTTCCACTTCATTTACTGGAGCTCTTGGTGCGTGTAGTCAAAGTGAGAATTCTGCTTTCGGCAGGCAGATCCATTGCGACGTGGTGAAGATGGGACTTGACAATGACCCGTACGTTTCTACTTCTCTGCTGTCAATGTATTCAAAATGCGGTATGGTTGGTGAGGCGGAAACTGTCTTCAGTTGCGTTGTGGATAAAAGACTTGAGATCTGGAATGCTATGGTTGCAGCTTACGTAGAGAATGATAATGGGTACTCTGCTTTGGAATTGTTTGGTTTCATGAGACAGAAAAGTGTCTTGCCTGATTCTTTTACCTTGTCGAATGTTATATCCTGTTGCAGCATGTTTGGATTGTATGACTATGGCAAATCAGTCCACGCGGAACTGTTTAAGAGACCGATACAAAGTACGCCTGCAATAGAGAGTGCTTTACTCACTCTGTATTCCAAATGTGGATGTGATACTGATGCTTACTTAGTCTTCAAATCAATGGAAGAAAAAGATATGGTTGCGTGGGGCTCCCTGATCTCAGGACTTTGCAAGAATGGGAAATTCAAAGAGGCATTGAAAGTTTTTGGGGACATGAAAGATGATGATGATAGCTTGAAACCTGATTCTGATATTATGACAAGTGTTATAAACGCATGCGCCGGATTAGAGGCTCTCAGTTTTGGCCTTCAGGTTCATGGCAGCATGATTAAAACTGGGCAAGTGCTTAATGTTTTTGTTGGCAGCTCCCTTATTGATCTGTATTCTAAGTGTGGCTTACCAGAAATGGCTCTCAAAGTTTTCACTAGCATGAGACCGGAAAACATTGTTGCCTGGAATTCAATGATATCTTGCTACAGCCGAAACAACCTTCCAGAACTGTCGATTGAACTTTTCAATCTGATGCTCAGTCAAGGTATCTTCCCAGATTCAGTATCCATCACAAGTGTCCTTGTAGCAATCTCATCGACTGCAAGCTTGCTAAAAGGGAAAAGTCTACATGGTTATACATTACGACTTGGCATTCCTTCAGATACTCACCTGAAAAACGCTTTGATTGATATGTATGTAAAGTGCGGGTTTTCGAAGTATGCAGAGAATATCTTCAAGAAAATGCAGCATAAGAGCCTGATCACTTGGAACCTAATGATATATGGGTATGGATCCCATGGAGATTGTCGTACAGCATTGAGTCTGTTCGATGAGCTGAAAAAGGCAGGAGAAACGCCCGATGATGTAACATTCCTGTCTCTGATTTCAGCCTGCAATCATTCCGGTTTTGTGGAGGAAGGGAAAAACTTTTTTGAGATCATGAAACAAGATTATGGAATTGAACCAAAAATGGAACATTATGCAAATATGGTGGATCTTCTAGGACGTGCGGGTCGCCTGGAAGAAGCTTACAGTTTTATAAAAGCAATGCCTACTGAAGCAGACAGTAGCATATGGCTCTGCCTCTTATCTGCTTCTAGAACTCATCATAATGTAGAACTTGGAATATTGTCTGCTGAGAAGTTGTTGAGAATGGAACCGGAAAGAGGCAGTACCTATGTTCAGCTAATCAATCTTTACATGGAAGCAGGATTGAAGAACGAAGCAGCAAAGCTGTTGGGTGAGATGAAGGAGAGAGGCTTGCAGAAACAACCTGGTTGCAGTTGGATTGAAGTTAGCGATATATCTAATGTTTTCTTTTCAGGAGGTTCATCTTCTCCAATAAAGGCTGAGATCTTCAAAGTATTGAATAGGCTGAAGAGTAATATGGTAACTGAGGACAAGGCTACTTGAACAAGATAACATTCTGAATTGATGATGTTTTTACATCACTTCTACTTCTCAGAAGAAACACTCTCTTTTTGGCAGTGTAGAGTAAAAATAGAGACACTCTTAGGGTTTAAAATGAATGAGATATTACAAATCAAATAATTCGCTGGTTGCTTGGCTCGAACTATTGGGTCATCTGGAGATGCTTTCAAAAAAATGTACATTGTATGCTGTTTATCTTCTTCCTTTCGTGTTCATCACATTCCAGAAGAGGTTCGGTTAATGCGTTGGGCACCTAGTTTAAGAGCTGCAGGTTTGGCTCCTCGGCCACGACCAGAAGATAACGGTTTTGCTCTGGTGGTTGGTGGTGGAGCAGCAATTGCAGCCCAGGGGTCTTCATCATCAGACTGTACTGTCTTTTTCAAGTTCAACGGTCTTGAAGTAGTTGCAGGTGGAGGAGCAGCTATGGATCCCCACAAATCATCGTCTTCCGATTTTACAGCTGCTTTTACTGTGCTAATCTTTGGTCTTGAGCTTGTAGCAGCTATAAAGAGGACGAATAACACATAACCATATGAATTTTAGAAAGTTTAACATTGAGGCAAACAGATTCAGCTAATAATAATTACCTGAAGGTCTGGAGGACTGAGACACAGGTCGTTTTTGAGCTGCTTGAATGTTAGCAAGAGCTGGAGAAGGTTTTGGTTCATCCAGCGGTTCGAGATCCCAACCGTCTTTGTCGCTCTCATGACCTTCGCTAATGCCATTCTCAGCATCTCCCCAACCATCAGTTGATGTTGGGGATGGTGGTGCAGGTTGATCTGTGAAGTCCGAGTTGGAACGTGTATGATGACTGGCTTTGACACTCGGCGCCTCCGTTGCTGAGGAAAATATCCAAGAAATAAATAAACAAAATAGGAAATGAAAAAATACTGGCAACTGTACTAACTCGCCAAAAGCAAAGTGATCGATATACGATAAATCAAACATACAATCAAGGCAGTTTCTTTTTTCTTTCCTACGATTATTTACATTTTACGCAGTTGCACATTTCAACAAATACTTCCAAGGTTGAGAGAAAAATTATGGCAAGGGATCTCAAGTGTACCTGTGCTTGTAGCATTTGACGCTGCAGCAGCTAGGGATGGTGCTGACGAAGAAGAAGCAAGAGGCGCTTGTTCTAATGGCTTACCCTTGAGGGTCAAAGAACTCATAGCCCATCTATAAAAGTAAATAAATTAGTACAGTTGGTATATATAATCCCAGACCAATGTTCATATATAATTCATCTGTTAAATTTGACTTGACAATACTCACCCGATCAGACCAGCAGTTTCAGGTATAGCTGAGGCTCCTCCGGTGGCTCCTATTTCTCCAGCATTTGTCTAATAACACCCCAAAATAATTCAGTTATCTTCCATCCCCTTTGACATAAGACTTTTAAGTATAAAAGTAGCTCAAGGAAATACTAGAGTGCGGTAGAGTCATCACTCCTACCTTCTCATAGTTTTGTTTCAATATCTGAAGAAACTGTTCTACAGCCTGAAATGCCTTTGACCGAACATCACTATAAGGAAAATAAGAGAAAATGCTTTAGACTTTGTCGGAAGCGAAAATATTGGACGAAAAAGGGATCGTTTTGCACTTAAATAAGGAACCTGTCTTGATCAATGGTTAGCACAACGATATTCGGAAGAATCCTAGTTGCTATTTCTGTGTCATCATAAGTAGTACTGGTGGCACATAATGCAACAATCCCTGCATAAAGTAAAATCCAGTGAGATATAAGATGACACCTGGAAAGAGGATAATAACAGGAATATCGAAATGATTTATATAAAACCTTTCATCCCACACACTATGTAATAACTAGGATCCTGTTATATTCACATACCTGCACCTCGAGCAGGTGGAAATGTATCACGCAGTGCACGAACTGTAAAAGCATTAATCAAAACTCTTTTCCTTGTCTGCATCATTGTTTCATGATTAGGCACAAACAAAAGAATATATCCATAAAGGTAACAAGGAATCAAAAGAAAAAGAAAAAAACAAAGCTGATAGAGACTAACCCCTTCATTTAGGTAGGTGGCAATATTCCCGAGTAATATAGTGGTATTGGTTCTGATTGCAGGCTCTTCATCCACCTGAGAGGATAATATAAAATTTAAACCACAAATACTGTGAAAGAAGTGCATCTGCAACATACAGGACCTCTTAACTCCAGCTAAAAAAGAACCAAAGGATTGCCATAAATAGAGGTATGGAAAGGCGGTAATATTTTACTAGAAACATCAACTATGGGAAAGAAAATGTCCAGCTATTGCGGTAATGGATGCAAACCTGTAGTTTGGAAAGGTATTTCAACAGGGATCCTGAAAGTGTGCGCTGAGAAAGCTGCAGCCAAAGACAAAAAATAAAAAACAATTTATATCAGATACAACGAAATTATGACAAAAAAAAAAAATGCGAACGCCAATAAAGACAGCTAAATGTCTTCAGATGGGATGAAACAGACAGTGACCTTTTCTAACTGAAAGCTATAAAGCAACTTGAATGGGTTAGGAGCAGATACCTTCGGAGCTAAAACGAGCATCGATTTAAGAGTCAGCTCTCGAAGAAAAGCAGATGTATCCGCAAATCCAGTAGCAACATGAGGGTATACCTAGTAAAAACACAGCCCATTGTTAATACTAAAAGTATGCAATTAAACGGCAGTACCGTCAAACAACCACAGGTGAACACCTTTCAGGCCACAGAAGAGAAACTGATCTTACTTGTTCATCGACGATTTGCCCGGACATTGATTCTCCAAATTGATCAACATGTTGCAAAAGAGAAACTCTAATAGCTCGATCATTGGAAGCAAAAAGCTTGACTATTGTTGGCAGTACCTAAAATCACAGAAGGGAGTACCTTTAGGCAATAACTGAAAACTATACATAAAGAAATGGAGTGGATTTGAGCGTTTAAATATAAATCTAGCATGACTGAACAAACCTTGACACTGAAATCTTCAGTAGATAACCACGAACCCATCTTAAGTAAGGCAGTTAATGCAGGAGCAGCAGCTGAACCATATTCAAGGGAAGAAGCTAATAAAGGAAGAAGCTGCATCAACCAGAAGTTAAAGTCAAAAAGAAAAACACAAAACCTTCACCTCAAAAGGCAAATTGTTGTCCTAGTACCCAATAAAATTCAGATTCACACCTTCTTAAGCACGATCTCCCTAGGAAGCTGTTCAGCAACATTTGGAAGTTTACGGAAGAAAGTATCTTTTTCGACACTGTCTTTCAGGTTAAGAATGTCCATAAAATGTATGGTGTCCACCAGCTTATTTTGGAAATACTCTGCCAATTCAAGTATGTCAACAATAAGAATCAAGAGATAAGGAATGGTCAAAGATAACTATGAGAGAAAATACAACACCACTATATAAATAAACTCAGACGGAAGGGACAAGAGCAAATATACGGAGAAAAAGAACAAGCAAAGAATCAAGAAACAGTGAATTGTTTAAGGTACAAAATTTATAACCAAGACAGGAAGATTACCGCCATTTTCTAGAAGTTTTGAGGTGTTCAATCTGCGAGAAGGCATGGAACTTAGGAGTCGCTGATAATCTGGAAGCAGAGACTGTGAGAAAAGAAACATTTAACTGAAATGAAAGCCAGCTCTTAGAAATCAAAGTCATAAAAACAGATAAAATGCAACACATCAAAACTTTGGGGAAACATACGAAGCCTATTGACTAAAATCACACCAGTATAAGTTCCAAATACACTGGAGTTAAAGTTATCAAATATACATGGACCTTAATCCATAAATATGAAGAAGCAAAGGAGAATCCAAATGTATACGCAACCCGATATTGAGGAACATAACATATACTCAAGGAAAGAAAGGGATGAAAACAAAACCTTAGGAATGCCGACAGTGTTACGCAGCTCCTCTGTTTTAGCCAGCTTAGAGCCCGAGAAGAGTTCATAAATAAGACAACCTTCAAAAAGGAAGTAAAGAGCTTTAGTGAAAGAATTGCACTCAAGTGGACAAAGGGTCGAGGAGCATATAATCTCCAATGAAAATAAGCACGGCATAAAAACTACAGTACCTAATCCCCACGAATCAATGGCCCATGGTGGAGATTTTCTAATAGCAACCCAATCAGACTTGACCATTTCCATTGGCTTGTACTGTGTTCCCACTAGCCATTCATATGGCTGAAACAAGAAAAATAAGGTAGCAAAGATGAAAGGAAGCAATTAATACTGACAGAGTATTCCTATTTCCTACCCTGGACATATGAACAACGTCTGATACTACAATGCACGTTTTATCAAGGATATCATATATTAATGTTAAGGAACAGATATAACAGCATGTTTGAATTTTAAAATTTTGAGGGAAGGAATGGCTTTCAAATTGACAAGATTAAGAAAGTGAACACCCCAATGAACTACAATAGTGAATGATGTGTACCAGCATAGGTCCACTTGCGGATTCATTGCTCCCATCAAACTCTGATAGAACATCAAAAGCATGGAGTTTCCAGTCCAAAGTAGGTGTAACAACAACACTCGCTAGACAGACATTTCCATGCACCTGTTAAGACAGTAGACCTTAAGAGTTTTAACTAAAATATATGAAGTGAGGATTCAATGTATGCCATAATAAATTCAAAACAATATCTACCTGACAAGAAAATCTACTAGCCACCGGTTATATATTCTAATAGCTGAATTATAGTGTTATAAACAAATACTTACAAGTTTGCAGTCATTGTTCAGAAAGCTCACAGCTTTACCTATCTGGTGTAGCCCCAGTGCAAAGTACTCATCCCTAAAAGCAAATATTTCACAGTCACAACAAAATTTTCGAAAGGTAATCAAAATTTACCATGTCGAGCATGATAATGTCCAGTGGCAAAGCCATTATTATGAAAAAGACAGATTAGAGTGTGACACAATTTGTTGGAATAGATTAAAAAGCTGTAGCACACTACATAATATATTTTCATGTCTTTTCTGCCTAGATGCGCATAAGAAGAGTTCATACCTCTGGGTAGCTTTCAAGCCTAGCTCCTTTATCTTATCTGACAGCGGCATAACAGGCTCGGTGACTATATAGATTGTAACTTTAGTAGTAGAACCATCATGAGTTTCGACCTCAGTACTGTGGAGAAATGAAAGAATATTTGGATGCCTCACCTGCAAAACGAAATAGTCGATGATAATCTAACAAAAAGATGCAAATGATACTAACAAGAGGAGAAAGGAATCCATCAAATCCGATATTCAGATAAACCAAAAGGGTACATTCATATTTATGATATTTAGATTTCCAAGTGCTTAGAGTTAAAACTTAGTGCTCGATAGACGTATATGTCAGTATTCAGAAAGAAAAAAACCTCATTGGTCTGAAATAGAGCCTAAACCATGATATAAATATATGAGAACTTACGGTACGAAGGCGCTTGACACCATTTCGTCCAGCAGCCAAATGCCCATCTTGAGCATTGTTCCCAGAAAGAGCAAATATTGAAACTGGAGATCCATCATCCTGAAGAAACCAACAGTAAAGAATATAAGATTGTATCACAACTTACAGTATCTGAAACTAGATCCAATAAAGCAGAAAAAAAGACATAATAATCTTAATAAAACAAAGCCAAAAATCTTAAAACTCAGCGTACTCACATACTGGAAGAACCAAGAACAATAATAATTCGAATTGGTACTTCTTAACTACAGCTACTAAGCATAAAAATCTTAAAGCTGCTGGATCACAATCAAAGCACGCAACAGGAAAAAAAACGCAGAATTACAAACATCCGGAGAGAAGGGAGAAAAGAGAAATATAACCTTGGAAGTACCACGAAAGTGACTCCATGAACCCCAAGCAGAAGGATAAGGATCACCGATGTTATAAGGCAGATCCTTGAGTCCCGTCCCAGATCCAGCCACTACTCCTTTTAAGAACTTAAACATGTTTCCACCTTCTCAACTTTCAAACGGATCTATATGGAATCAGAAGAACGACGTTGGAGCAAAACGGGGAAATTCAAAGCTCTGTTCTTATGATTCTTCTTCTTCTTCTTCAATCTGCATCTCCCAAAAGATGAGAATTTCGTAGATTTGTTTTTTTCGCTTTTTAATTCGTCGGAATGATTATGATCGACCTGAACGGACTTACTTCATTGCCGTTTTCGTGTTTCGTTGTTACAATTCGTGTTGTTTATTTACTTATAAGACGTCATGGAGTTTGGATCTGTTGACATTTTATATTTTTGGGCCCAAATTCATAGGCGGTGGGCCGTATATTGTTTTTTGGGCTTATTCCTTGTCCAATGGGTTTCTTGTGCAAATTAATCCCCTTCTAGTTATTCCAATCTTTTTTGGGTTTTGGAATGTTTAACGAAAGTTAACCTAGCTAGTAGTAGTTTGTAGAAAGATGCACAATAAATAACAAGATTTAAGCAAAATGATAGCTCGAATTTAAGATCAAATCATAAACTTCAATGGGACAATAAAATGCGCTTGCACTATAATTGGGTAAACACTTTTCTGATTATTCTAATTCTATTAACGAACCATTGTTGTCTAAATCATTGAGTATCTCTGGACACGTGTCATATCAGTCTTCCAAAAAACTTTTGAACACCGGTTCGTAGTGTGTGGATCATATATGATTGTTTGTACAATTATTGAAGATATGTTAATAATTGCATGAAATTTTTGGACAACAATAAATATATGTGAATTACATAGTACAATGTTTAATCATATTTGGCACGTTTATAAAATTTGTAAGGGCTAATTAATTATAATTAATAAGACATAATTCGGATCCAAAAAAAAAACAATTTAGGATTGGTCAAGAAACTTACCAAACTTGCTTCAACGCCTTAGAAATTTCTTAGCTTATGTGTCTCCACTTTAAGAAAAAAGTTCAACAGTCTCAGCATTGAAAATCCTAAGTCTTCGTCTAGACTTCTAAGAAAATCTTGTAATGTTGAAATTTGAAAGAAAGAAATAAACATTATTAATATTTGTCTTAAACCATAGAAGACCATGACTTGGTCAATGTTATTACCAGTTCCTCTGCCGTGTTAACAAAAAACGAACTCACCCATCCTAAGTATCTCCTACCGGGTCAATGGGTTATCACTGTAGTTAGATCTTTGGTTTGAATTTTGCTAAACAAGTATACTTGTAGCGTTATTTAGTAAATATTTGTTGTTTCCCAATGTGAAATAGCCTAAAAGCTTGCTCTTGATTCTTGGACATATTTTACCTGGCGACTAAGAAAATTCCATTTTTAGCTAACCCAACGCAAAAAAAAAACAGTATAGGAAATGGTATTATGTCGCTTTAAGAAAATAATTACAGTCTTTGAATAATCTACATATTCAAAATTTCAATAGAGTTGGAACCAACATGGAAGCAAACTGTTCGGGCATAAGACTAACCGTCATGTACGTATCTCTTCGTCTATATATATATATATATGTGTGCATAAATTTTTAAAAACATGTACTCGTAAATAAAAAATAAGTTACCAAATGGAAGAGGTAATGTCAATGATCTTCCACGGAATGAAACTAGTTAAAACGCTCGAGTCCAGCTTACCGGAAAAGCCACCGGAATCGCTATCAACCTCTCTTGACGAAATCGCAAAGACATTCAGTGATGCAAACGAGCGGCTGAAGATGTTACTAGAGATTAGAAACTCCGAGACCGCGTTGAACCAACTCAAACCGGTGGTTGCGTCCGTTGCAAACCAGATGTTAATGCAGATGGAACCGAGTTTGATGCAAGAGTATTGGTTAAGGTGTGGCGGGTCCACGTCATCTCATGAAGGAACCGAGGCCATGTTTCAGACGCAGCTCATGGCCGTTGATGGTGGTGGTGGAAGGAATTTGACGGCTGCAGCAGAAGGATCCGGCGCTAGCGGTTCCTCCACGCCAAGGCAGCGGAGAAGGTAACTATATAACTATTATTTTATCTGGTAATTTATAATAAAAGTATAATTTGTGCCATACATGTAACAAATAATATTATGGAACAGAATGCATAGAACAAAATTGGTAACGTATGTAACGTAAACAAAATTAATGGATGGTGTATGAGATGAATAATGAAATGACGGAATATAACAATAATCATGAATTGATATATATATATATATATATATATATATTTGAGCTGAACAAAGCTTTTGTTCAATTATCACGAAATTTTAAAAACTTTTTTGCATATTTATTTTCTTAGATACAAATTTTTTTTTATCATGATGTACTTATATATATCATAATCATTTTTCAAAAACATGAGATTTTGATATAAATATTATGAATGATAACATAATCAAATTAAATCAGAACATCAAAGTGAGAATATATTGTATATATATATATATACTTCTATCCACTTCTATCCCCCAACTTTACCAAATATTAAAGCAAGAACATATCTAAACCTTTTTATAATTCAGTACCAGGCTAAAATCAAAATTCGATGATTGATTAGTCCACTTTCAAGTTTCTTTTTCCTTTTGGTCTGCATTTTTTAACTCTTTAAAGCGCAGAGGTGGGTTGAACCAGTTACATGTGACTAGGTTAGCCAAAAGTGGAAACCGCCTCAAGTCCACTTCACGTTCAAATTACTTTTTTTTTGGTTTAATATGACTTTTTCTCAACCAATAATAATTGAATTTGCAGTACGTACGTATGTACTAATGTAGATTAAATCATGAGTACATTATTTAGGAAGGACGAAGGAGAACAACAAACGGTGTTGGTGGCGGCGCTAAGGACAGGGAACACAGATCTGCCACCTGACGATAACCATACTTGGCGTAAATACGGTCAAAAGGAAATTCTTGGCTCTAGGTTTCCTAGGTAATTTAACTTCACTAATTTAATTATTTATACTATATGAGAGAGATTAATATAACCCAAGTTTAGTTGGAAGTCGGAAATAATCTTTTCGTCCAGTACTAGTCAAAGATTCTAGATTAGCAATGTAGAATAAATGAGTACATGCATTAATTATTTAGTCAAAGGATCCATACGTATAATAATATCTTTTTATATATAAGGTCACAAGAGGTTCTTTAGTTAGTTAACTATCCTAGATATACATATTTACATCACATCATATGTTGTAATCAGTCTTTTTTTGATTCTTAACCACAAAGTTTATTAGTATAATTAATAGAACGACCAAATTACCTATTACTAGTAAAGTTCAGCTGGAAGTTGAAACTTCGATGTTATAAGTACATATAAAAATCTGCCTTTAGTCTATATCAATCATTAACTACGTACTTGCTTATCATATACTAGATGAAAGATTATTAAATTTCTTAATTCGATATTTTAAAAAATAATAAACCATTTTGCAGGGCGTACTATAGGTGCACCCACCAAAAGCTATACAATTGCCCAGCCAAGAAACAAGTCCAACGCCTCAACGACGATCCTTTCACCTTCCGAGTTACATACCGTGGCTCACACACTTGCCACATCTACTCAACCGCCCCAACCGCATCCTCTGCCGCTCCCACCGCTCCAATCCCATCCGTCACCACAGGTCATTCCGTTGACTACGGTCTTGCTGTCGTTGACATGGCTGATGCTATGTTTGGTAGCGGCGGGGTCGGTACCAACATGGATTTCATGTTTTCTATCAACGATCCATCTCAACATCATCAGCGTTTCCGGCAGCTGGACGACGGTGACGAAAACAAATAGGATTCATCCACAGATCGAAAACAAATATTTTTTAAAACATTAAGTTATGCGGATTTAATATATGGGTAGTGATGCAGTGACAACATTAACAAAAATGTTGTTAATTTAATTTATTTTTATTTTTATTATTAAAGTTTTGCATATTACACGTGAAATGGGATCTAATGATGAGAAACATGTCTTCTAGGGTAGTTCTGTTTCTTTGACAACGAAAAAGTGTTTTGTATTTAGTGGTTTTTACATATGTATTTTCATTATTTCATAGTTTTCTTCTCATTCTCTAATTATACAAGCATATCTTTCCAGGAATGAAAATAAAAATGACTATAAATATAAATATGTTTGAAGAATTAGTTATTCACTGATTAATAAGAGAAATCTTAGAAGTTTCTTAGTTTTTCTAAGATTCATTTAAGTTTGATACCAAAATATATATATATATATCATTTAGATTTTTCCCTGAATTGACAACACCGTAAACTCACGTAATACATATTGTTGAAGAAAAAAAAAACAGTATTAGGCCGTGAAGTAAATTAAATATATATTCAACAAATTAAATCTTACATAAACAAAGTAATTTCTTTTAAAATAATTAGGTGGGAAATTGTTAGTTTGTCAGTTTCTCACAAATTGTCATGAACTTGTTGGTGTTTATTTCTTCTTGTTGTTGTCTTTTCTCAGACTAAAGAATCGAAATAATTAGAAAAGGTGTACGTGGTCCGTGTCTAAACAAGCTCTTCGAGTGGAAGCGATGGTCCTTTCACCGTCGTCATGCTCATGAAAGGGCCTTTGCTTTGCCTTTTTGTTCATCATGTGTGTTTGTTATGTCGATAGAGAAGACACTTTCTTCTCTAATTATTTTTTATAGCAGTACATTGTGAAACAGTATATAAAAGTCATTAATATTTAATTTAGACATCTATTGTGTTAAAAGTTAAAAATTAAAAAACATTTATGGAGTTATAGTACTTCGGTGTGTTTTTACCGGATTGACCGGATCAGCCGATAGGGTTTATAAAAAAAAAAAATTTATAGCGTTTGATTTTTCGAATTACAAGGGTAAAGTAAATTTAGTTTGTATAAGAAAAAAAATACTTATACAGAACATTATAACTTAATTTATTTTGTTTTATTGTTCTAACAAGCATTAATTAATGCCCTAGTGTACACGGTGATGCTTATGTAAAGCCGTAAAGGTAACATGCCAACAACAAAAAGACAAGCACGACCATTCCAAGATGCATTTGTCCCAATTTCTTCCTTTTTTGCACCAAACATTCATAGCCGCAATTTGAATGGATAAGTCTCTTTACACTCTTTCGGTAATCATATTCATCTATCATATTTTTGGATGAAAATTTACCGAATCCAACAATAAAAGCACTAATAATAATCATAAAGAAACAACAATAATTATATCTAGAGGATATCGCGCAGTTATGGAGGTTGGTTTAATTCTAAGTTTAATTGGTAATCCATTAAAGTTTTTCCATCTTTATAGTGTCATGATGTATCCAAAATGAACTTGTGAAAAAGAAGAAAAAACAAAAACAAAAACATTTGAATGCGAATAATCCGATACAAACATCTATCTAGTGTCAGTTTACAAAAGTCAAAAAATGTAAACAGTACTTATGTGAAAAGAGACCCAAGTATATATGGTGTTTTGATCAAACATACAACAAAAACATTAAATTAAACTAAACATACTCAAAGTCGAAGAGAAAACCTGATGATGATTCATCAATCCAGATTTGGATGTTCATATAGCACTTGTTCTTTCATAATCAGGCACAATATGAGTCGAATAAGGAGGAAAGCTGATCGTTGTCGATGAAACCAAATTGATGAGAAGTAGTACTGATTTCACCACAATAGTAGTTATTTTGATGATCATCAAACATCATCGTCTCTTGCCAAACCAATGACAAGTCCTCACCTGTCGAAGAGCCCTCACAATAATCTTTACTCTGATCACCATTGTTATTCTCTTCCTCCTTAACCATGCCTGCGCCTACAGCTATCACACTACTGATGTTGTTCTCTTGCTCTTGCACCATAGCATTGACATGGTTCTGAACAGTGCTTGCAGCCAATGTCTTTTCCAAATCCATAATGATTTCTTGATCGAAAGGCTCGGTCTTCGTGTGTGTTTGGTCAGTGGCAGTGCATGTGTGATAGCCAATGTATGTGATTTGGAACATCTCAGGGTCTTGCTCCTTTTTCTGTACTTGCTTTGTTGCTTTGCATCCTTGCGTTGGCTTGTGTGTGCATCTAAAATAACTTCTGCAAAACATTAAAAAGCATAATTTGATTTAGGCCATTGCAAACTTCACATAGTGACTTGAAGTCTGAATATGTTTCGGCTTTAGATCCCTGGTTTAAAAATGATTTGACCACATGTTTATATGTATTATGTATGTTGGTGTTCAAAAAAGAAAGAAAGTATTATGAATGTCTTGTGTCTATATATATACATAAATAGACATATATCTATATGGAGTAATTAAGGACCTTGGGAATGTGGTATTAAGAATCTCCTTTTGTCCATATTTCCTCCAAGCATATCTATCTTCAGAACTTCTAGCTTCCACGATCCTTGTATGTGATCTCTTCCTGCAAATAATAAATTACAAATTTGTTAATTTACGGCTATATCATTTTGCCTTTTATGTTAATTTCAAACAAATCCACGGTAAATAATATAATTCTTGTTTGTAACACATTAATCACAACACTAATTGAAACTAAACAAGATTCGGTTATCCATGGTATAGTCAGCATTGATTGGCCCTATCAGATCAATCGTATTCATACGATTCCTTATCACTACCATTAACACAAATAGTGATTATATTTTTAATATATAGTGGCATGTTATATATTAGGCACTATACATTATATATGAACAAATTCATATCCTTTTAGCCTTTACGATTAGTCATTTTTATATGGGGCAACCACACTATATGATGGAATCCATAGACAAAAATAGCAAATTGAAATGAAAAAAGTTTAAAATAAAATCAACATAAAAAGGAGATTAAATTACTAAACACGAATAAATTTTAAAAAGAATAAATTGATATTCGAATTCAACTTTTTTTTCACTTACTTTCTAGTGTAGCATCCTCTTTTACCCTTACCAACTCCTAATCTCTTCTTCTTACTATCACCGGAATCTCCACCGTTGCAACTCGCCGGAGTCGCCGAATCATCTCCACATGAAGCATTCCATGAACCCTCGACGGAGATGGGGACAGAGACGGTGACGGGATCAAAAGAATCAAGAACGGAAATAGTTTTATGGAAAGATCCCAAGATCTTAGACATGAGCTCATCAACGGGATCTGGAACACCGGAAACTGAACCCGACCCGGAAACAAGACGGGTCTGATCGATGTGGTACTGTTTAGAGTGTTGATGAGAGAGGAGAAGCTGAAGCTGAGTAGCGAATTCATAGCCTTCGACAAGTTGGTCGACAACTTTTCTCTTTATGGATTTGGTGTTGTTACTATTTGAATCCATAATTTTTTTTTTTTGGTTACAAAGATATAATCGATATGTAACTTTTTTTAGGTTTTTGGTATGATGATTTGAGAATGAAGAAATGTTGTTGTAATATAGTGGAGGAGAAGAAAATAGATTTTTTCCTGATCAAGAGTGAGAGAGAAAAATCAAAGGAAGATGCTTAGGAAAGAGAGAGATGCTTATGCATTATAATGAACATAAAGGGTATAATGGGAAAGTAACAAACTTAGTTATGAATTTAGTCATGGATTCGAGGTTATAATTGGAAAGTTGTAACATACCTATTCACCCATTGGCTTACCAAAGCTTTGCTTATGTCACATAGATGATGTGGAATGACATCACCCATCTCCGTAACACGTTTGATGGCTTGGTAATGGTGGGTTTTTTTTTTTGTTCTCCTTTCTTCGCGGATTTATTTAATTGCTAATGAAAACGATCCAACAACTTGGTTGGTTTTTTTAAATGTTTATTGGGAAAAAATGTTTTGTCTTTATCTTGGATATAAGAGTTATATAAATAATATTTTATGACATTCAAATTATTTTTCCACGGGCATGAAATTCGCTTTCAAGAAAAGAAAAAAAATGAAGAGGAGAAATTTTTTTTTTTCGTAATAATTAAAGAGGATAAATGTTGACAAGATATATATATATCATATTGGACCAACCACTAATATCTTTTAAGAGTAATTGGGGCAAATAGTCCTAAAAGGCTAAAACATAATAATATTCTTACAATTTTGTAAATCTCGCTCGTAATTTTATTTGGAAGTTGGTAAAATACGACTGTAAAATATGCCTCTATATGTTTTGCTATATAGAATTTTCATAACCAATTTATTTATACATGTTTATTGTCGCGCATTTACGAAAGTATAAGGATCCTTGTGAATATTCTCATTGTTGAATTTTGTAATAGATAGACTAGCTACTACTAAATGATAAACAAAATATATATAGATTGTGGTGAGACCGCTTAGTTCGGATCTAAAAGTAGTAATCAAGATTAATCTCATTATACTAAGCCAACGTTATTTAAGTTTATCCTTATGTTTTGTAGAACTGCCGTTAAAAAAGCCGGAAATGTACTTTAGTAGATAATTAATGTTTTGGATCATTTGGTAAAAGAGAGATTTGAAACCATTACAATCACAAGTCACACTCTAGCTTATGTCAGCCTATTGCTTGCTTGGCCTTGATCGTTTTGGCAGTACTTGGGATTCTATACAAAATATATGAATTTTGGACTGAACAAAAAGATTAAAAATTTGTTGAAACTGTCACTAGTTTACATATGTTAATTAATACTCGTGAAACTATTGTAATATTCGTGTAAGTCATCTCTTTTGAAACCTATCATATGATCATAAGAAAGAACACATTTTGATCTTGAATGAAAATAACTTCGTTTCATAAAAATGAGTTGTTTTGGGTTAGTTGAATTATTTTATTTTATTAACGCATAAAACAAATTTAACTTTTTTTTTATTAGACATTTGTTTGGAATTGAGATATTGTGACGGCATTGAGGGGGCAGGTGCCACTGAGTTCTCCTCGGAGTCACAATAATTTCAGTCCACATTGTGCATCCACTCGCAAATAAATCAAAATCCATAAGAGTCAAATCCATTTGTTTGCTTATTAATTCTCTCTAATTATCACACTTATACGCTTACTTTTTCAATTATAAATAAAAGCAAAACGGCTGTACTAATTATTATATATACAACTTAACGAAACAGACTAGATTAAGAATAATTATG